ACATCCTCAGTGAATCAACTCCCTCCTGATTTTATTAATGCTCTCTTCAATGTGTTTACTCAATTCAATATCCTTCCACCGTCCAACGCTGCTCAGATTACTAAAAATAACATTCAATTCATCAATGGACAGACAAACAGACAAGATAATACAGTGGAACTGCCGTAGTGCCCTAAGCAAAAAAAATGAAATTATTCATTTAATAAATAAATTAGAGCCTTCTGTTTTAGCCTTGTCTGAAACATGGCTTACATCTCAAAGAAATTTTAAAATTAATGGTTATCATACTATTAGAGAAGATAGAATGGATGGCTATGGTGGAGTAGCCATTCTAATTAAAAATGGTGTTATTTATGAACCCATTACCTTAATAAGACATAGTGAAGAAATTTCAATGATTGCAGTGAAAGTTCATAACATATGTTTAGTATCTATTTATTTATCTCGCCCATCATCTCCAATTTTTAATGAAATAAATAACATGTTTTCATCTCTCCCTAAACCCTTTCTAGTACTAGGAGATTTTAACTGTCACCATCAAGCATGGGGATGTACAGTTACTAACAATTATGGTGAAAATTTGTTAGATATAATGGAATCACATAACTTATGCTTTTTGAATACAGGTTCCCCCACTCGCCTCACCAGTCCTAACCTTAATGCAAGTGCTGTGGACTTATCAATCTGTACTACAAATCTAGCTTCTTCCTTATCTTGGCATACTCTTCCTTCTGCATATGGAAGTGACCATTTTCCTATTATTATATCTTTACCCTTTAAAAAGCCTCATAACTTTAGATGGAAAACCACAAGAAGATATAATTTACCAGATAAAAAATCTAATGACTGGAATAAGTACAAATCTTCTGTTGAAAATAAATTATCATCTCTCCCTATTATCACTCCCGGTAATGAAAACAGTTGTGCAGAGGCATTAGCTAGTATTTTAAATGAAGCTGCCATAGAATTGTTTCCTATTAAAAATAACATCCACATGAAAATACCATCTCCTCCTTGGTGGGACAAGGATTGCTCTGAGGCTGTGAGGAAGAGAAAGCAGGCAGAAATCATGTACAATACTAATATGACAGAATTTAACTATGATAACTTAAGTAAAGTAGTTGCAGAAACTAAAAAAATATTTAAAAAGAAAAAATTCGAAAGCTGGAGAAATTTTTGCAGTTCTATTTCACCAGACACGCCCGCTACCCTGGTCTGGCGTAACATAAAAAGATTTAAATCCGCCTATAATACTTCCTCTCCTGTCACTATGCCTCCTGCAATAGTTAACGATTATATGGACAAATTGGCCCCACCGTGGACTCCCATTCCCATGCTCAACACTTCACAGGTTTTACAATTGAGTAGTAGCTCTGGATTGAATCGTCCTTTCTCCCTTCAAGAACTTAAGAGTGCTGTTTTCGACTATAAAGATTCTGCCCCTGGGGCAGACGGAATTCCGTATTCGTTTTTCGCAAATGTTAGTGATAACATCTTAACCTATTACTTGCAACTTATCAACACTATCATGATAACAGGTGACATACCTCTGTCATGGAAGTCACAAATAGTGTTGCCCATACTCAAACCTAATAAACCACCATCACATGCATCTTCATACCGTCCAATAGTTTTAGCAACTGTTTTAATCAAACTAGCTGAACTTTTGATAAAAAATCGCCTTGAATGGTATTTAGAAAGCAGAGGCATGCTATCCAAAACACAATACGGATTCAGAAAAGGAAAAAGTACAATGGACAATTTAAGTATTTTATCAACTGACATTCGTCTGGCTTTCACATATAACGAATCCGTAGTAGCAGCATTTTTGGATATAAATTCTGCATATGATCACGTATTATTATCAGTTTTGAAAAGTAAACTAGAGATACTAGAGGTTCCTCAAATGTTAACAAATTTTATTATGAATATACTAGCCGAACGAAAATTAATAATTAGCTTACCGAATAGTCTTGAAATACAAAGAACTGTATGGAGAGGCTTGCCCCAGGGATCAGTTCTTAGTCCTTTACTTTACAGTGTATATACTCACGATTTTGACACTTTATTTGAAAATAATATTAAGTTGTTGCAATACGCTGATGATCTATTGATTTATTCTACAAACCGTCACATAGATAATTCTTCTTTGCATATTAACTCAGCTTTACGTTCTTTGAGTTCTTGGATGAACGATAACGGTCTAGAATTATCTGCTTCAAAGAGTACTATTGTAATATTCTCACGACAGAAGAATCCCCCTCCCGTTAGAATTTATTATAATAATATATTAATTCCCATTGAACCCCAAGTAAAATTTCTGGGAGTCGTGTTGGATTCCAAACTTACCGGTAGTGCACATTGTGATTTTATTATAAGTAAAACTGAACGACTTTTAAATCTTCTCCGATGTCTTTCAGGAGTTTGGTGGGGGGCCCATCCGCAATCCTTAAAACTAGTGTATAATGCATTAATCCGAAGTGTACTGGACTACGGAAGTTTTCTCCTAGAACCTGCCAATTCTACTGCACTGAAAAAGCTAGATAACGTTCAGTCGAAAGCGTTACGAATAATAACTGGTGCTATGAGATCCAGCCCAATTAATGCATTGCAAATTGAAACTTGTGAACCCCCACTTAACATTAGACGACAACTTCTTGCTGACAGATATCTATTCCGTTTACTTCAATTTTCCAACCATCCTCTTATAAATCTACTTTGTTCTTTGAATGAAGAAATAACATCAGCAAGTTACTGGGCACATAAATCTCTCCCATGTTTGATAGTTAGTTATCGAAAGTATATAAGTATACAATCACCTATACACCGATCAAACCATCTTCCCATTTTTACTATTGATTATGATGCCTTAGAAATAGCACCAACTATTCAATATGATTTAATTGATAAAAACCATGCACACCCAAATATAACCTTCAAATCAATTATAGATACTGAATATGACGACTTTCATCATATATTCACTGATGCTTCTAAGTCCTCTCCGTCTGAGTGTACAGGTGTAGGAGTATTCCACTCTCAGTTTTCTATTGTCCAAAAAACTAAACTTCCTCCGGAGACATCTGTTTTTACCGGAGAATGTATTGGTTTATTAAAGGCTGTTGAATATATCTTTGTTATGAAACTGCGAAAAACTGTAATATTTTCCGATTCAATGAGTGCTCTTCAAGCCCTAAATAAATTCCCTTTCCGTACTAAATCATATTTTCCTGTAATATTTGAGATAAGGAATTTTCTAAATAAATTCATGAAAATGGGATACATGGTAGAGTTTGCATGGCTCCCGAGTCACAGTGGAATTCAAGGAAATGAAAAATCCGACCAGTTAGCCAAAGAGGCAGTGCATTGTGGTGACGTGGTTTCTTATAAATGTTATAGCCAGGACTTGCTATCTCTACCATTGTGCGATTTGCGAAGTGAATGGCTTACAAGTTGGACAAGTAGTGCACAAATAAAAGGAAAATACTATTTTACAATACAACCTACTATTCCTTTAAAGCCATGGTTTCGTAAAGCTAAACTTGGTAAGACTGCTACTAGCATATTAACGCGCATGAGACTTGGACATGTTACTACACCAGCACATCTCTCTAAGCTTGGAATTGTCAGCGATCCTGCTTGCGGGTGCGGAATGGACACAGGGGATCTTAACCACATCCTGTTTTCCTGCCCTCTATACAATCGATATATTTTTTTAAATGGCCTCATTTCTTTAGATGTTCCTTTTCCAACATCCGTAATAACCCTACTCTTCTCTAATAATTTACAGATTTATAAATGTATAGCATCTTTCATAATGTTAAATAATATTAGAGTGTAATCATCTCTATTCGTATTTTATGTATGTATATTTATATAAATATACCAATTCTGTCTCCTGATCCTATCCTCTAAATTCCGATCCAAAATGCATAAATTTCCTACTAATGTTTCCCTACCTTTGACACTGGCAATGCACAAATCGTGTCGTGCCATTAAAAAAAAAAAAAAAAAAAAAAAACATTTGAAAGAAGAAATAGCAATTATAGTTATAATTTTTATTATTTTTAAAGCATGTAACTGCTTGATGTTTAAATCTAAAGAAAATATAACTAGAAAAAAATAATAAATAATTTATTATTATTATTATTATTTTCACGAAGGACAAAGGGCCTCGCAAACACCTGCCGCCCGGAGCCCCGCAATCGGTAAGGCCGCCTCTGAGAGTGTATATCTCCTATTGTTATACTTGTATGGTCGTGTGTAGCCTGGGTTTGCACTTACCTGGAATGGAATGCTTCAGACTCTTAAGAATTTAATTTATAATGAATGTATTTAAATGAAGGTACGTACACGTACACTCGTCACACTCACACACATGCACACACATGCACACACACGAACACGCACACACACATACACACGCATACAGACACACACTCAACCGCTTATATAAATTGTACTCTATATATTTTTTATTTTTTTTACAATGTATTAAAAATCCAATGAAAAGACCTTACCATAAGAAATATCAATGATGCTATGGAAGAGTGGTTCCTTCTGGTACAGGTGTTTAACACTTAATAGAAGGAACCCATCCAGGTTTGATGTAAAACAAATGTGGTACCGTAATAAACTTTTTTGATTTTTTTTTTTTTTTTGAAGGATAAATAACAATATTTTAATGAATTTATGGTGTCGATTCTGGCATGATTCTCTAAACTTTTTCACTTATGTATTGGGAATGATAAGGATACACTGTCGTCAAATTTAGGTTTGGGTTGGAGAGTCATGCTAGAATTGACACCAAACACCAATGTATGTAAAGAATGATTAAAACTTAGTTTATAAATTATATTGTGCAATTGTATAATAATATATTTTAAATAGATTATAACCCTCTAAAGTTGCTGTGCCCTCGCAGGGCGTCACATAGTTACTGTATTTGTTATGTACCACCTTATTTTTGTGAATGTGATATGCAATGAATGAATGAATACCTAGAGTTCTTGTCCTGCACAGTCAGCATTTGCTCGTCGACTTCCTTCATCGACATCCGGCCTCGGAATATGGCGGCCACAGTGAGATATCGCCCGTGACGCGGGTCGCATGCCGCCATCATGTTGACGGGGCTAAACATCTGTACAATAGGGATCATGACTAATTTCTTTTCTCCGTTCATCAGGTAGATTATCATAAAGTATTGGACACGTATAGAATAGAGAATTTAGGTAATTAGATAAGTAGGTACATATAAATTTCTATATTTAGGGGATTTTAGGGGAATTTTAAAAATACTCAGGGTAAAATTTTGGTAAGGGTTGGTAACACTGGCGCAATTTACTCGTTATTAGGTTATATTAGATAGAATCTAACTGACTATAATTGCCACTAGCCGGAAATTCCTTTAAGGCGAAATCGGAAGCGATCACCCCTTGAAAGGGGGTGACACTAACCCTACCCTAATTTCTACCATGGGGGGGGGGGGGGGGACTCTGATTCATTCGACAATTCACAAAGAAAGTGCTGACATCTAAAGCATCCCACGCTAAAACTGCAACCGAATAAGTTTCACGAAGTAACGATAGATGTCGCAACCAAAAGTATAAATTAATCGAATGAAAAGCAATGAGCGCTATTGTTTTCTGTCTCACCAGATGGCGCCACTGTTAGGGATGTTGACTAATTTTTTTTTCTTCGTTCATCAGGTAGATTATCAAAGAGTATTGGACACGTATTTTTTCTTTTTTCACATAATATAAACATTGCAGAGATATATTGATTTGAAAAGTCGCATGACGTCACGTTTGAGTACACTCATAAGTGAAAATTCACTCAAAAGTGACGTCACGAGCCCCTACTCCCAAACTTTGACGCGCTATAACTTTGTCATTTTTTGGTTGATTGTCCAAAGAAAAAATACGTGTCCATTATTTTTTGATCATCTAACTGACGGACTAAATAGAATTTCGTTTACTGTACCCCATCATCATGACTATTATGGCAAATATGAGTTACGTTTGTGGGTCATGATCCAATCTCCCTATTCCATTCGTAGGTTCAGGCCTGTACCCCAGCAGTGGGGACATTAATAGGCTGATGATGATGATGATAATGATTTATGATTGAATAAGGGTGATGACGGGGTACAGTAAACGAAATTCTATTTAGTCCGTCAGTTAGATGATCAAAAAATAATGGACACGTATTTTTTCTTTGGGCAATCAACCAAAAAATGACAAAGTTATAGCGCGTCAAAGTTTGGGAGTAGGGGCTCGTGACGTCACTTTTGAGTGAATTTTCACTGATAAGTGTACTCAAACGTGGCGTCATGCGACTTTTCAAATCAATATATCTCTGCAATGTTTATATTATGCGGAAAAAGAAAAAATACGTGTCCAATACTTTATGATAATCTACCTGATGAACGAAGAAAAAAAAATCAGTCATCATCCCTATTCAATCATAAATCATTATCATCATCATCATCAGCCTGTTAATGTTTGTTTTGATTGTCGACCTTTATGGCCGAGTGGTTTGTACGCCGGGTTTCATGGTGTCGCCGACTCGAAAGGTTCCGGGTTCGAATCCCGGTGGGGGCAGATGTTTGTGTGATGAATACAAGCATTTGTACTCCAGTCATGGATGTTTAATATGTATTTCTATCTTTATATATATAATTCTTCTGTGAGTGTGTATGTCACTGAACTTCTCTTAAACGACTGGACCGATTTTGATGAAATTTTTTGTGTGTGTTCAAGGGGATCTGAGAATGGTTTAGATTCACAATTTTGTCCGCTGGACAACCCCTATTTTTTTAGGGCGGTACGAAGTTCGCTGGGTCAGCTAGTATAAATATAATATTTTTTTAAGCATTTTACTGCTAGATGTTTAAATCGAAAGAAAAGTTTACTAGAAAAAAAATCCACGCGGACCAGGCAGCGGACGGGACTCGAACCCGCATCCTTCGCTATCCGGGCGAATGCACAGACCATTATGCTACCACGGACCTATTGGCCGCGTCGAAATTTTCCTAGCCTTAAGCTGCAAGGCAGCGCCATCTCTTCGCATTGTAGGCAACCCACAATGTCAAATGAATACTTTTTCAAGTATTAAACATTTGAAAGAAGAAATAGCAATTCGCCCGGATTGCGAAGGGTGCGGGTTCGAGTCCCGTCCGCTGCCTGGTCCGCGTGGATTTTCTTTCTAGTAAACTTTTCTTTATACTTGATAAACGTAATATAGTAGGATGAAAAATTGTTAGATAGTTATAATTATTTAAGCATGTTTAATATGTGGAGGTTTTAAATTGGCTTTAAGATATTGTTTTTTTTGTTTATTTAATAAGGGGCCGTTCATAAAATAGGTTCGCATACAAGGGGGGGGGGGAGGGGGTCTTGCTAAGTGTGACAAGTCCCCCCTTGTCATGTGACGGGGGGGGGGGGGGGGGGGGTCTACGGCAACGTGACGTTCGTCGTTCACTAAAAAAAATTAAATTAGTATTTCTTTCAACTATTTTTCTTTCTCAATTTTCATCAAGATAGAAAATCATTTGTTTCGTATTTAGTAAACATATAGACATTCAAACGTATATAGTTTTATTATACAATAAATTGTAACTTGATATATTTACTCATGTTTATTTTTCGACATTATTATATATTTAAATTTTATTATAAAAACTAAATAAGTATTTAAATTCTTAAAATTTGTGTCTACTATCAATTGAAATTAATCATACTTGGGGGGGGGGGGGGGGGGGGGGGTCTCCGTTTTTGTGGCGGAATATTTCAAGAGAGGTCACAGAAAGTGTGACACAGCGTGACAATAGGGGGGGGTCGGCAAAAGCTGATTTTAGCGTGACGTATTTTATGAACGGCCCCTAAGTGATTGATAGCTGTAAACCTTCTTAAAATAAAATAAATAAATAATGAAATTCTCACCTGTTGTGTCAACTCGGGCACCGTCAATGCTCTGTAGCCTTGACTGTTGCGCGCTGTCAACGGTGCGAAACCTGTCAAACAATATGAAATGTTATTTCATCATCATCAGCCAATTAATGTCCCCACTGCTGGGGCACAGGCCTTCCCCATGGATGGAATAGGGAGATTGGGCCATGGCCCACCACGCGGGCCCAGTGCGGATTGGTGGGTGCTGACGACTGCAGATGCAGCCGGGACCAACGGGAAGCAAGAAGGAGCTCGAGATAGAAGATTTTTGGTCACCCATCCAATGACCGACCACTGCGAAAGTTGCTTAACTTCAACCTACTGCCTAGCTTCTCTTATATTTTTATTTATTAACATTAACTTGCTTGATGTTTAAATGTAAAGAAAATTTTACTACATAAAATTCATCGCGTACCAGGCAGCAGACGGGACTCGAACCCACACCTCTCGCTTACCGAACGGACGCACTGACCATTATGCTAACATTTTTTTAAAATTATTGGGTATGTAAATAATAATAATAAATAAATATTTCCAACACTCACACCAATTAGCCTAGCCCCAAAGTAAGCACTGTAAGGCTTGTGTTATAGGATGCTAGGGTAACGGAGAGAATACATATATTAATACATACATAAGTATCTCATTTTTATCTCTGTTGACTGGACTAAACCTATATATGTGTAGTCTATGTATATATTTGTAATATGTATCTCTTATCTATTAGACAAGTCCGTCCGTCTGTCTGTCTGTGGTGCTGTTTCAGCGGCCAAACCGTAAGAGATAGATAAAGAGAATATTTAAGTTATAAGTTAAGAATAGTCTGTTAAGACTACAAACCGGATTTGAGTAACGTAGCACTTCCGGTTTTCGAGAAATCAGGTTTTGGTGAACATTTGGTTCACTGGTTTGCTAGTAGGTATATAATATGTATATACGATGTGTATTTATGTATGCATATATACTTAATTCACGAATTCGTTTAAATCCCTTGTTTCTTTTACCGACACCGCCGACTCCAGCTTTCTTTCAATCCTCTCCATCCAAAGGTTGTCTGGAAGAAATCGCTTTTAGCGATAAGACCGCCCTTTAAAGCACTCTTTTTTAACAATTGTAATGTCCCTCATTTCTGTTCTGTGTTGTGGTGTTTTCAATAAAGTATTGTGTATTGTATTGTATTTAATAGAAATATATATTAAACATCCATGACTGGAGTACAAATGCTTGTATTCATCACACAATTATCTGCCGGGATAACCGGGATTCGAACCCGGGAGCTCTCGAGTCGTACAAACCACTCGGCCACGGAGGTCGTCTCTGATTTTATATTTTAATTAACATGGAGTGTAGAGAATTTAATACTAATTTCAAGTTTGAAATCGGGAGTTTCATTGTATTCTGGTAGCGATCATTACGTTTTACTAATTTAACTGGGGGAGTATAATTCACTATGTTTTTTCACAAATATACAGGCTTCAAACACAAGTTAATGCAAAAAGGAAGACGTAGGAGCATAAAATGAGTAAAATTATATATGTAATTATATGAGTAATAGAGATAACAATATTAAAAAATAATAGTATAATTCAATTCATTTTTTAAAATATGTATGTATACTATGTTATGTTAATTTATATGTAACAAAATGAAATTAGTATTATTGTCTTTTTTTTAACACAATTATGTTTATTATATTAATTGTAATTTTAAAACTACGCTATTGCATTAGGAGTATTCCTGTGAAAATAGCTGTATGTGTTTTCTAATAAATAAATAAAATATTTTATGTATGAAATCAATTCTTCAGTGATGAAAATCACGGAAGAATCAGTCGAAAACGTTTGTACGGAAAAAGCATTGCACGCCTCCCCTTTTAATGTCGATTGAAGTATTTCAAATTTAATAATTCAAATAATGTAGTGTATTCTAATTTATTTCAATAAATGTAATGTATTCTAATTTATTTCAATAAATGTATTGTATTCCAATTTAATTCAATAAATGTATTGTATTCCAATTTATTTCAATAAATGTATTGAATTCCAATTTATTTCAATAAATGTATTGTATTTTAATTTATTTCAATAAATGTATTGTATTCCAATTTATTTCAATAAATGTATTGTATTCCAATTTATTTCAATAAATGTATTGTATTCCAATTTATTTCAATAAATGTATTGAATTCCAATTTATTTCAATAAATGTATTGTATTTCAATTTATTTCAATAAATGTATTGAATTCCAATTTATTTCAATAAATGTATTGAATTCCAATTTATTTCAATAAATGTATTGAATTCCAATTTATTTCAATAAATGTATTGTATTTTAATTTATTTAAATAAATGTATTGTATTCCAATTTTATTTAATAAATCTAATGTATTCCAATTTAGTTTAAACAATGTTATGTATTCCTATGTTTAATATATTTGTGAAAAAACAATTTAGTTTTAACTTTAACTATGTATAATTTTAAAAATAATGTCTGCTCATATATTGTATGTTGTGGTCGCCTCAAATACAATATACATTGTTACTTGCTTTGTGAACATGTTAATATTTGACGGCCTCCGTGGCCGAGTGGTTTGAACGCCGGGTTTCATGGTGTCGCCGACTCGAGAGGTCCCGGGTTCGAATCCCGGTGGAGGCAGATGTTTGTGTGATGAATACGAACATTTGTACTCCAGTCATGGATGTTAAATATATATTTCTATATAAAATATACTTATATATGTACAGTATATGTATTCTATCCGTTACCCTAGCATCCCATAACACAAGCATTACAGTGCTTACTTTGTGGCTAGGCTAATTGGTGTGAGTGTTGGAAATATTTATTATTTATTTAATGTGTTAAATTATTCTGTGTATCATTCATTAGTGATCCTTAATAAATAAATAAACCTTGAATATTAACATTGCGCATTTTTGATATTTTGGAATGGTTAGGGAATAATTTTGCAGGAATCGCTTTAATTATCAGTATAAAAGTACTATCATGTATGTGGTAGAATACAATATTTATTTATTGCGCTATCGTACACGAACATGACGATTGATAATACATTAAAAAAGTTTATCTCCCAGAAAAATCAACTTACATGAATCACGTTTAAGCGCACCTAGCGACATCTATTGTAAAAAAATGCATTTTCTTCGCAATAAAGCTGCCACGTGAACGTCCTAGATAGAGACTTATTATTATAATACGATAAAATAAAATATTACTATGTTTCGTCCAATATATTGAAAGTCGGAGGAGCTCGATGGCGCAACTGGTTAGCGCGTTCGGCTGCGATCGTTGAACTTAAGCAACTTTCGCAGTGGTCGGTCATTGGATGGGTGACCAAAAATTTATTATCTCTCACTCCTCCGTGCTTCGGAAGGCACGTTAAGCCGTTGGTCCCGGCTGCATCTGCAGTCCTTAACACCCGCCAATCCGCACTGGGCCCGCGTGGTGGGTCATGGCCCAATCTCCCTATTCCATCGATAGGGAAGGCCTGTGCCTCAGCAGTGGGGACATTAATAGGCTGATGATGATGATTGGAAGTCAACAACCTTTCCAATTTTACTGTGTGTCATGATGCGATCAGCCCACGTGTTTAACCTGACGCGAGTTTAACATTTTTTACCCATATAAAAAAAAGTGTACAACGCCGCTAAAGAAGTTTTCACTTCTATAAATGTAATCTCTAATTTTTTAAAGCATGTAAATAAATTATTTTCTTTAGATTTAAACATCAAGCAGTTACATGCTTTAAAAAAATAAAAATTATAACTATAATTGCTATTTCTTCTTTCAAATGTTTAATACTTGAAAAAGTATTCATTTGACATTGTGGGTTACCTACAATGCGAAGAGATGGCGCTGCCTTGCAACCTAAGAATGGCTAGAAGAATTTCGACGCGGTCCGCGAGGGCCGCGGTAGCATAATTGGTCAGTGCATTCGCCCGGATTGCGAAGGGTGCGGGTTCGAGTCCCGTCTGCTGCCTGCTCCGCGTGGAATATTTTCTAGTTATATTTTCTTTAAATGTAATCTGACCTGGCATGAAGAAGTGGAGCCTGGGGAATGGCACCATGTTGACGGCCAGCTTCCGGAGATCCGCGTTCAGCTGACCCGGAAACCGGAGGCAAGTCGTCACTCCGGACATCGTCAACTGGGTAGTAATAATGAAATGAAAGTTTATTTGTTTCTTAGGTTTTCACGCACATCACTCATTAAATAAAACTAGTTTTTACGGGTTAATGCACGAAACTTTATTTATTTATTGACGTTTCGCAGCCTTTTCAGGTCTGCATCGTCAGAATAATGATTTTTTATTTAAAATTGTCGAGCTACCTTCGAAAGACTTATATTGAGCGTTCGGTTATTTCATTGGAAGATTTTTAAAATTTTATTGTCTATGTATGAATTTATTATTTAATTTACTTAATAAAGTATTTTATTTAAAATTCTTGTTTGTAATTTGAGTTTATTTATTTGACCCTAACTACCGTAAACTACCACCGGTTCCAAAATTGGGAGACCTTCCTGAGAAGAACCGGCGAAACAAACTCAAGAGAGGCTTTCTATCTCCTTCTTATGTTAAATTATGCGTCGTCAATAAACAAACGTCAATAAATAAATAAAGTTTCGTGCATTAACCCGTAAAAACTAGTTTTATTAAATGAAAGTTTATTTGCATGAAACATAGTTTGTTACAGCTGATAAATAATATTGTCACAAACGCTCTCGAAACGGAACCGCGAATGTGCTAGATATCGAATTTGCCAGATCACCGCGTGTCGCGATAGAGGTCGAGTAGTGCGGCTCATTCTAAAATGAGCCTTATACAGTGCGACGTAAGGGTGAAAGTGCAACGACATCTGCACTTGTTTACAAGTTATGCGCGTTACCTGCGTAGGTATAAGTAGATACTACGTACTCGCGGGTGCTAGCTAATTCTCAATTTAACAGGTACTTTCTAGAATGCGTCGATCGGCGTATATAAGCGCGATTGGCGCCGCGCAGAGACACTCGAGTTTCAACAGCGATTTCGGAGCGAATCCAAAGGCGATCAAAGTGCAACAAAAGTATTCCACTACGATAGTTTAGTGACTTGTATAGTGAAATACAGTGTTTAGTGAGTGTTTTGTAATTAACATTGTGTGTTAATTGTGTGGACTGTGTGGTGAATAAACAACTGTCAAGCGTGAACTGGCATATAATTTCGAACCCCATCCCGACACGTAACAATATAAAAAGTTCCATATGTTTCGATCTTGAAAGAGCATACAAAATACTAATAAATTATCTAAAAATTACAAATTTAAATTGAAATTAATAGTTGCATGCCGAATGTCAAATTTTCTAATTCAATAGCCATTTCTATATTATGTCAACACAATTACAATAATTAATAAATATAATAACTATACATTATATTACACGTGATAATCATACAGTACATGTCAATTCTTTTAGGTCAATAGCCATTTCTTCATTATGTCAACAAAATTACAATTATTAATAAAAATTCATTTGTACTATAAAAACATTTACTTATTAACGATTCCCGTAACTTTTTTGCCATTAATTTTATAAGTCCGTGCTTCAATTGATTTGGGATTCTATTGTATACCTTAATACCCATGTTATAAGAGCTTTTCTGATACAGGGTATTTGACAAGTTTTAGAAAACGATCTCACGTTATTGACTGATGTTTATGGAGTCCGTAAAAAGTGGATATACATCATTCTGTTGTGTATTTCAGTAAAAATAACCAAATCAAAATCTCCATTTTGCAAGTTGCCGCGAAAACGTTTCTCTGGACAATATGGCGTCTTACTAGTGTGTGACGTCACACGATACAATGTAATGTCACTTAACAACCGGAAGTTTACTTGCGTGTGACGTCATTTTAAGCTCCGCCAATCCCAAGCGTTTTGGGTTACGTGACAATAGATAAATAAATAAATATTTCCAACACTCACACCAATTAGCCTAGCCCCAAAGTAAGCACTGTAGCCTTGTGTTATGGGATACTAGGGTAACGGATAGAATATACTGTACATATATAACTATATTTATATAGAAATACATATTAAACATCAATGACTGGAGTACAAATGCTCGTATTCATCACACAAACATCTGCACCCACCGGGATTCGAACCCGTTACCTCTCGAGACGGCGACACCATGAAACCCGGCATACAAACCACTCGGCCATGGAGGTCGTCAAAAAAATAGTCTGAATATATTCTCACCGACACCAGATGGTTCAAATCCCCGTACGTAGGCGATGAAAGACGCAGAGTTCGGAAGCAAATATCGTAAAGTGCTTCGTTGTCAATGCAGAATGTCTCGTCTGTGTTCTCTACCAGCTGATGGACGGATAGCGTGGCATTGTACGGCTCCACAACTGTATCTGATACCTGAAGGAGATATAAACAAATAAATATATATATGTCTGACAAATGACTCCACCCCACCTGATGTTAAATGACGGTAAAGTCCAGACGCGAAGATAGCTGATACAGCAGTTCTACCTGCCACACCAGCCATCTTCACCCTGCCGGGCTGCATGTTGCTTCTTCACGCCTCTTTTAAAGGATCCCAGGTTGTAAGAGGGAGGGAACACGTGAGCGGGCAGAGCATTCCATTTACGGATAGTGCGACAAAGGAATGAGTCACCAAATTTCTTTGTACGCGTTGGAATTGTGGCCACAGTTGACGGTGACAACGTAGGCCAGCCCGCGTGGTCCTCTGAAGGAAAGGAGAAGGTGGGATAAGAGAGAATAACTCCTCAGAACACTCGCCGTGGTACAGACGATAGAACGCGCTTAGTGACGCCACGTCACGGCGTAATTGAAGAGGCTCAAGGTGTTTAGTCACCTCCTCATCGCCTATGATGCGGATCGCGCGCCGCTGTAACCTATCCAAAGCATCGACATTCACACACATTACACGCGTTCCTACAATCTGGGGTCCTTTAAGAGAGGCTTGAAGAACCATTTCATGGTTAGGATGGTTAGTATGGCAGTTTATAACTGCTGTACCAGCTATCTTCGCGTTTGGACTTTATCACCACTTAACATCAGGTGGGGTAGAGTCATTTGCCTACCTAGCTATAAAAAAATACTAACCTAGCCCTTAAATCACATACATTGCATCCCTACTAGATAGAAAGAGCATCTGCTGCGGGTCAATTATGCTTTAGTGATATAATCATAATGTGATTTCAATATGATGTTGATGCCAACTTGACATCGTTTTTAAATTGGTATTATGAAACATTCCTGTCACATCAAGATCATATCAATATCATATCTTGTACCTATCACATTTTTGACGTTTATGCGATACTGTTTTAAGTCAAAAAGTTGAACGTAATACGCATTTAAGTTGATATCATTTTAAAGAGTTGATCCTAATAGGTACGCATAAGTTGATGTCATTTTGATATCGCATTTTTCGGTGAGCATAATACGTAATGTGAAATTGACATCAAAACAATATCACAATTAGCGAGCATAATTGGCCTGCTGGTGACAAGCTTATTCAAAATCCTTATACAGTAGAACGCCAATTGTCCGAATTAATTGGGACCGGGGTCGATTCGGATAATCGGACATAGACTGGTAATAAAGAAAAACGAAATGTCATATATAATAAACCTTATTAAGTTTAACAAACACAGTTCTACAATACTTAATCTATATATATATAAAACTCAAAGGTGACTGACTGACATAGTGATCTATCAACGCACAACCCAAACCACTGGACGGATCGGGCTGAAATTCGGCATGCAGGTAGATGTTATGACGTCGCTTTAGCGACCAACTTCATGCGTTACTTTTGTGTTTACCGCACATTAAGAAAATCTACCAACAAAATAGAAATAGAATCTCTATTTGGTGGGTGCTAACGACTGCATTGTGAAGGCCTATCAAAAGTATTTATTAATCTGGAACAACGGAACCAAAGCGCGATTCAGGAGACTACAGCGCCATCTTTTGACCATTGGTGTAGTAGAACCAAAAACCAAATCTTTATTTTTTGTAATAAAGTAACAGTTATAGGTATTCATATTTATAATATTTATCCACATGTTTCTAGTTTGTATATTCGGAATACGTGTTTGAGTTTCATACAAGTGCAAATCACATATGTTCTAATAAATTATATTCAGTAGCGATTTTAATTGAATATTTTGATTTTTTTTTTTTTATATTAAGCTTAAGATCGATTCGGTTAATCGGCGTTCTACTGTCCTACTATTATAAATAACAAAAATGTGTCTGCCTGTCTGTTACCTCTTCACGCCACTGAACCGAATATGATGAAATGCAAAATTACACAGAACACAAAAAAGGTTAGAAGGATGCCCCATAGACCGTTCGTACGGGAACCTCGAGTTCCTCCATGATTCGGAAGGCAAGTTAAGTCCCGGCTGCATCTGCAGTCGTTAGCACCCACCAATCCGCACTGCCTGGTGGGTCATGGCCCAATCTCCCCATTCCATCCATGGGTAAGGCCTGTGCCCCTCGGTAGGGACACTTAAGATAAATACCACTATTTGTCTATCAGGTCAACAGTTAATGTATATTTAATCATTATGTAATGAAAGGTGACTTCATGAATCATCTCAGAAGTCCTTTTTCAATTTGAAGAGTCTGTAAATAATAAAACAGGGAGAAAAAACAGCCCTTGCTGAGTTTCTTGCCGGTTCTTCTCAGTACAAGGTCTCCCGCAATAGATTTACGAACCGATGGCGTAGCTTCTATACATTCATGAGTGCTTGTAACAGTGTAAACTGAACAAATGATTTTGATTATGATTGATTATTATGATTATTTGTTTCTTAGGCTTTCACGCACATCACTAATTAAATAAAACTAGTTTTTTACGGGTTAATGCACGAAACTTTATTTATTTATTGACGTTTCGCAGCCTTTACAGGCTGCGTCTTCAGGATCATTTTTTTATTTAATTTTGTCGAGCTACCTTCGGAAGACTTATTGAGCGTTCGGTTATTTCATTGTTCGATTTTTAAAGTTTTATTGTCTATGTATTAATTTATTACTTAATTTATTTAATAAAGTACTTTATTTAAAAATCTTTTTTGTAATTTTGAGTTTATTTATTTGACCCTAACTACCGTAAACTACCACCGGTTCCAAAATTGGGAGACCTTTCTGAGAAGAACCGGCGAAACAAACTCAAGAGAGGCTTTCTATCTCCTTCTTATGTTAAATTATGCAAACAAAAAGAACTAATAGTATCTGTTGGTCTTGCAGTGTGTGTTCGGGGTTGGGATTTTATCTCCTGTATAATGGGTTCCCAAGCTGGTGGTATATACCAACCGTCTTCCCTATTGAAATTTGGATATTTTTCAATCTCAATAGCCTCGCGTATCATTCTAGGAATGAATCGTTGCTCAGTTGTAAGGATCTGTGGTTTATCAAATCTAATGAACTGGATCCTTTTCGGTCCAGCTGTGGATATATGTAATGTATGTTTTTTAATGTCCGTCATTTAGTGTATATGTATGTATATATATATATACACACATATTTGTATGTTTGTGTATATATATGTACATATATGTATGTGTGTGTGTATAAATTTAACCTTTTGTATGTATCCACGTCTGTTCCGAATAAATGTTTTTCATTATAATTTTTATTATTTTTAAAGCATGTAACTGCTTGATGTTTAAATCTAAAGAAAATATAACTAGAAAAAATTCCACGCGGACCAGGCAGCAGACGGGACTCGAACCCGCACCCTTCGCAATCCGGGCGAATGCACTGACCACCGGGTCATAACTATAATTGCTATTTCTTCTTTCAAATGTTTAATACTTGTAAAAGTATTCATTTGACATTGTGGGTTTACCTATAATGCGAAGAGATGGCGCTGCCTTGCAGCTTAAGAATAGCTAGAAAGAATTTCGACGCGGTCCGCGAGGGCCGCGGTAGCATAATTGGTCAGTGCATTCGCCCGGATTGCGAAGGGTGCGGGTTCGAGTCCCGTCTGCTGCCTGGTCCGCGTGGAATTTTTTCTAGTTATATTTTCTTTAGATTTAAATGTTTTTCATTACATTTTCATTTTCATTTCATTTCATTTCATAATGTATATTATTATTATTAATAAGCTGATGATAAAATATGTCATCACGTACCTTAGGTGAAGGCATGACGCTGAATGTATTGACGATCCTGTCAGGGTACTCCTCGCGCAGCTTACTGAGCAGTAGAGTACCCAGACCCGAGCCCGTGCCACCACCCAACGAGTGCGTCAATTGAAAACCTGGGACAAATGACAACATCAATATTATCAGCCTACTAAAACGTTTGACTGGAGTTTAATATGTATTTCTATTTAAATCTTTATATATATAATTCTTCTGTGAGTGTGTATGTCACTGAACTTCTCTTAAACGACTGGACCGATTTTAATGAAATTTTTTGTGTGTGTTCGAGGGGATCTGAGAATGGTTTAGATTCACAATTTTGTCCGCTGGACAACCCCTATTTTTTTAGGGCGGTACGAAGTTCGCTGGGCCAGCTAGTATACTTATATATGTATTCTATCCGTTACCCTTGTATCCCATAACACAAGCCTTACAGTGCTTACTTTGGGGCTAGGCTTATAGATGTAGTTCTTGGATTTATTTATTTATTTGTATAATTTTGGTTACCTACCTCAAAGGCCGAGTGGTTTACGCTAGGTTTCAAGGTGTCGCCTACTGCAGGGGTCCCGGACAAAGATGAAGCCAAAGTTATAATTTATTTATTTTTTTGCTATCATCATCATCAGCCTAATAATGTCCCCACTGCTGGGGCACAGGCCATCCCTATGGGTGGAATAGGGAGATCGGGCCATGACCCACCACGCAGGCCCAGTGCGGATTGGTGGGTGCTAACGACTGCAGATGCAGCCGGGACCAACGGCTTAACGTGCCTTCCGAAGCACGGAGGAGCTAGTAAATTTATGGACACCCATCCAATGACCGACCACTGCGAAAGTTGCTTAACTTCAACGATCGCAGCCGAACGCGCCTACCACTTGCGCCATCGAGCTCAAAGGGGATGATCTTCCTCCGAGCTGGAGGATGGTAGCTCGGGGACCACGGCCCGACTGTCGTAGGTCGGGCATTGTATATATGGAGTGTTAGCATCCGAATTTCACTTGCGCGATGTAGGCTTCCATACGTATTGATCGCAGCGTCGGTAGCGCCATCTCTTCCTCCTCCACCTCCATCCGTTGGATATATAGATGTCGCCGCCAAACCCCTAAGATGTTTATTTAGTAACTAAGTCTTGTATTGTCTCCCAGTGCATTTATGACAGCTCTCATACGGTTTGGCATAGAATTAATCAATGTCGTTATGACATGTTGAGGAATGTCCTCCCATTCTTCCAAAATTACATTTTTGAGCTCCTGCATGGTTTGCGGGGCAGGATGATGAACTCGAACACGCCTCTTCAGCTCATCCCATAGATGCTCTATAGGATTCATATCAGGACTTCGCGCTGGCCATCTCATAACAGTGATACCAATGTCTCCCTAAGTACTCCCTATCCCTGCCATTTTACTATATCTTAAACCCAGTCCCTATGTCCCTAACTTGGCACCAGGGAACTTCCCTACACCACTACACCCTCAGTTTCTACCCCTAGAGATGTATGGAATCGCGTCATTAACGGACTGACTGGCTCCCCTTCATTACACCCAAACACCCTCAGTTTCTACCCCTGGTGAAGGGACTGATGCTAAATTAAGTTTAAAGTTTAGAGAATCATGCCAGAAGCGCCACCATAATATACCTAAATAGCTAGATGGCGCAGGTAGGCAGCAACTTTTGTAATAGATGTGTGATCAAAAATTTATTATCTCTCACTCCTCCATACTTCGGAATACAAGTTGACAACCATCAATCCGCTATTCTATCCATAGGGAAGGCTAGGCCCCAGAAGTAATAATATAATAATAATAATAATTTATTCATAAATGATTTGGTTTACTTTACAATAGTTAGTGGCAGGAGTCACCTTTTAAGCAAATCAATGCTTGTGCCAGGCGACTCCGCTCCTACATAGCACATCCATATTTTATGTAAATTTCACAATGCAGCAGCAGTGGGGGCATTAATGGGCTGGCGATGTGTGTGTGATAGCTAAATTGAGATAGTCTACATACCTTGCAAGCAGTCGCATGGTTCTGCTTCCTTCCTCACCACATCCATCACAGACTCCACCAGCTCTGCTCCCTCCGTGTAGTGACCCTTGGCCCAGTTGTTGCCTGAAATACAACATATAGGTAAAGTGTGTTTCAAACTGTCCCGCTTTCGACTAGAATTAAAGATCGAAAGAACTAAAAATCTGTACACATTTGACAATAACATATGACATAGACACAAACGATACGAATTCGATATTGGTTTGTGTTAGGGGTACTGTTTGAAAGAATTGCTTACTGAGCAGATAAGTTCGAAGTACCTTACTTAGGACTTTACTCGTAGATTGTGAAACAGGCCCTAAGTAGGATAAAAGATAGATTAGCTAACTTAATTAAATTAAGAATTCAAAGTTAAAATCAAGATAAGAGTCAACTTAGAAATCAACTTTGAGAGGCCTATGTCCAGCAGTGGACTAAGATGGGCTGTTGATGATGCGGTAATTGCTTACCTACATGAATAATTTAAGTTTAAAAGAGATTTCACCATTAAAGAAGTGTAAAAACATATTTTTAAGACTTGGTTAATAATTAAGGAATCTAGCATTGAGGAACTCTCTAACCTGGTGTGCAAAATGCGCCGGCGCCCCATCATGTTGAAACACCATGTTGCTAAGATTGTCAAAATACTCCCGATCTACTACTGGGAAATCGTTTAAGCATTTTCGAGTATCGTTTGTAGAAACCTAAGGTAGTTGCCACCGTTCAGACGCGAGGGCAAAATCACACATTCTTGGAATCTGCCCTGTCGTGAAACACGTGGATTTACCGGAGCCCCGACGTGATCGTTGTGAACGTTGGCAACTCCCAAGCTTGTAAACGTTGCCTCATCCTTCCAAAGAACACAGTCCCCGTAACTAGGGATCGCTTCTAACTGCCTGAGGTACCAGTCGCAGAAGTTTATCATCGGCGTAAAATCAGCTGGTGTCAACTCTTGTGTGCGGCGATAGTGGTGTGGATGCTGGCCATCGTCACGCATAGCGGTGGGCACATGAAGAAAAGTAATAATACTAGAAAGGTGGGCGTTTTTAGAAAAACGATGCCCGCATCCGATGCGACTGGATGATGTTATTGGATGCCGATCATAAAAAAGGTTCTAGAGAAATGCAAAGAAAGATTAAATACTATACAAAAAGATGCCGATGCAATCTAGTTTTTGTCAACGTTACTATAGCAACAATCAACAATGCTACAAACAAACTTATTGTGCCGTTGATTGAAGATGTCGCTAGCGGTGAACAAATATGTCAAAAAATGTCAAAATGCTATGGCTAAATTGTAGTTCAAATTTTTGTCACCGGCGGCACAGTAAAGTGTGTTTTTTTTAAGATTCTCCCTATTCAAGGAAGGCAAAGGGAACAATAACCACACAGCCTAGCCTGGAGTTTTATTCATTTTTTTTTATATTAGAATGTCCGTGTGACGCATTCTAATTTTTCTTGGAGTGTTTGGCACGAAATCTATTGAGTTGGTTTTTTCAATAAGCTTTTGTGAGGTAGTCAACACTACAATAAAGTTCTCACGTCCACTTGACCGGAGACTTTAATTCTTCAGTTGCGCAGACGGTTGTAACACAAAATCACACCAATTTTATTTCACAATATCCACTATGAACCAATTTAAGAATAATTAAATTAAGACGCCAACCAAACTCGATAAAATCGCGCCAAAAAATCAGAAAAGTATGTGGTAGTGGACTCCACACCACCACCCACACAAAACACGCATTAGCAAACTAGACTAACATATTTGGTTTATTATAATTAAGGTGACTTACATTTATAATGGCGGAAAACACTACTCAACATGCAATTTAAAAAGAAAATCGTATTCTAAGAAAAACAGTAGATTCATGAAGAATAACAGAAGAACAGGAGAAATTTAAGAAAAACAGGAGTTCTCCTGTAAAATCGGAAGACCTGGCCACCCTGCTCATGCCGGCTGCGGGTCAATCTTAATGTGATGTCAATATGATGTCGATGCAAAGTTGACAATTGTTTTTAAATGCTATTAAGAAACATTGCTATGTCACATCAAGATCATATCAATATCTTATCCTGTATCCCATTTTTGACGTTTATGCGATACTTTTTTAAGTCAAAAAGTTGAACGTAATACGCATTTATGTTGATATCAAGTTGACATCATTTTAAAGAGTTGATCATAATACGCATAAGGGTCAGGCCGTAAATTTTGCCACATTAGTTATAACATAACTCTCCGCCACATTTAAAAAAAAAAGTACGGTAATTATATTTTTTTCAATAACAGAATCATATTTCCTCACAAATGGTGAACCGCGATCAATAAATATATTTAAATATCTTCAAAACCTTAGAAATTTATAAAATATTTTGCTACAAAAAGCGATGAATTTTTCGTAAAATACGCTTATCCGTCCCGGTAGAAGTGCACTTAGAGCATCAGTAAAATCAAAAATAAAAATTTTTTTGATAGTCTGTTTGCTTTTACGCTATACAATAATAGTTAGCTAGCCACATTTTAAATATCGTTTCGTATTACCTAAGAAAGGACAATGGGCAAAACGCACCCAGCTCCGCCAACAATGTAATTAGTATGAATCGATAGATCTATGAAAAACTAGCCTTTTTATTATGGCACCAAAAAAAAAATAACCTGGGGGTCAAAAGATATACACCTGGGTATGTTCTATATTAGGGGTTAAGGTTTCCGCACATAGTCCTTATAGACGACCTTTGTGTGTAAGTCATGGGGACCGGTTACACACGGGCATATTTAAATAGCTCCTTATAGAGAAGCTCGATGGCGCAGGTGGTTAGCGCGTTCGGTTGCGATCGTTGAAGTTAAGCAACTTTCGCAGTGGTCGGTCATTGGATGGGTGACCAAAAACATCTATCTCGAGTTATTACTGCTCATGCAAAACGGGAAACCGCACTTTAGGATGCTGTGCTCATGTTATGGTGGTCATATGGTTTTTAGGTCTAGCAAGACATGAAGACGATATTCACAGACCGGCTCTCTTTTTAGACTCTGTGATTATGGATGAAGATAATTAAAAATATTTGAAATGAAATAATGTTTCATAAATAATCCCCTTTTTTTACACTTACCAATTAGCCTAGCCCCGGAGTAAGCACTGTGAGGCTTGTGTTATGGAATGCTAGGGTAACAGATAGAATACATTATGTAGTACATTTATAAGTATATTGATATAGATCATACATATTAAACATCTATGACAGGAGTACAAATGCTCGTACTCAGCACACAAACATCTGCCCCCACCAGGATTCGAACCCGGGACCTCTCGAGCCAGCGACACCAAGAAACCCGGCGTACAAACCACTCGACTCGGATATATTAATTGACGACCTCCGTGGTCGTCAATTAATATATCCGTTCTATATACTCGTCCTTGTATTTTTAAATATTATGTTCGTTATAGTTACTTTTAATTATGGAATTGTACCTATTTAACTTAAAAGAACTAAAGACTCCCGGGATGGAATTTGATGCGCTTTGGCACAAATGATCATGACTATGATACCTTTCAAACAAATGTAGTTTAAGCCGTGGCGGACGTGGGTGCAGTGTCCATGCAATTTTGCCCATTGTCCTTTCATAAATTTTCACTCATTTTCGAAAAACGTTAAAATCCATTCTTTTGCGCTACTTTTTATTGCGCAACTAATAAATGCCCATTTGGTTATGTTTAAAAAATAGCAGTATTCAAGTCTGAGTAGTGGCAACACCGAACAAACTTTGTCTATGGTCAATACGCTGACAGCGGCCATATTTTTTTCAGTTGAAAAAACATCAACATCGTTTAAAAGAAGGAAGTGTCATATTTTTTGCGGAGAGTGTTTTTTGATATATCACGGTAAGTTTTTGATTTATAGTTATTATTGCGCAAGATTTAATGAAAGGTTTGACATCTTTCAAGGCTTAATTTACATTAAAAAATAGCTTATTTATCAAGTCATAATGGGTTTTGTTTGCGCGACAGTTGCGCAAAAATGACTTTATCCAACTTTGCGATACCAGGGGCGTAGAATTTGCTCTACTAATTTTACGCTACCAAATAAAGGAGCTTCCACACATAGGCTTGCAGGTGTTTTTTTTAGCTTTTGTAATATTTGTGTCTTTTTGAGGTTTCGATTTTAGTTCCTGTGAAGGAATTGTATTTCTAGCAATAGAACTCTCCGCTTTTTTGTAACACCTTTTAAGACTTAAAGATAATAGTAAAAGTTGACGTTTGTCATACTTACCTATTAAAAGTGTGTTTTATTTTGTAGCACTGTCCTTACGTTACATATCTTGTATGCACTCCTTAACAATTGCGTTACCATTTTGCGTCACTCTGCGCTATGGACTCGTAGAAATTTTTGCGACACCATTGCGCTATTTGTGGCAAAATCTACGGCCTGACCCATAAGATAATGTGTAGTTGGTGTCATTTTGATATCGCCTTTTTCGGAGAGTATATATAATACATAATGTGAAATTGACATCAAAACGATATCACAATTGGAGAGCATAATTGGCCTGTTGGTCTCGTACTAGCAGTTCAATGCTCTTCAAAATAATGCAAGACCTTCTCGATCTGCCCGGGATCGACGGTAGTCGGACGTCCACTACCAGGGGAACGGTGAAATGAATCAGTAGAGTGCAAGCGTCTGGTCATATCTAAAAAACATTGATAAGATGCTAACCGTCTCTGTTCAGCAGGTGGTCTACCAGCGATAAAACGTTGTCCATACAGTTCACGAGCACCTTAAATTTCCATCTTCATGACCTACGCTTAACATTATCTCGTAATACTCTGAGTTGGAATAACGATTCATTTTTATTCACATAATGCATAATCAAAACTACGAAAACAAAAAATCACAACTAACGCACTGAAACACTTTCAATGGACTGAAACAACGAACTAATGAAAGGATTCATTATACCTAATCTTTGAGCGCACCTAACCTTGAATCTTTTTAACTATTTAGCCAGTGCACTGAAATATGAAGACGATGATGCAAGTTAATGATATGTATTAACAACTTAACGATTTTCCATGGAAGATGGGCAGGGTACTGGTATGGGATGCAACCTGTTCAGACACGCTGACCCCTTCCCATCTACATGGAACCAACAACAGAGCTGGTGCGGCTTATGAAGCGGCTGAAAAAGCAAAAGCAAGCAAATACAAGGGTCTAGGCTCCGAATATGATGTTGACCCTTTAGGTGTCGAGACCCTTAGTCCGTGGGGTCCTAGCGGTTGAAGGCTATTTAAGAAAATAGCAAAAAGGTTAGTCGACATCACAGGAGACCGAAGAGCTGGCAGCTACCTCGGACAAAGAATTAGTCTAGCCATTCAAAGGGGTAACGCTGCCAGTATCTTCGGATCCTTGCCTAAAAGGACTTCTTTTAATAATACATTTTAGTTATTAATTTTATTATTTAAGGTTTTTAGTTTTAGTTATATTGTTCTAGAATATATATATAGAGTAATTATGTACTTAGATTCTTTTCTCATGTAAATGTAATATTGATGTCGATTCTGGAATTATTCTCTAATGCTAAACTTATATCTTAAATTTGACAACAGTGCAGCCTTGTCCTTCTCTATACAGAATAAAAAGGTGAGACTGATTTAAATTTAGTTTTAAGTTTAGAGAATCACGCCGGAATCGACACCATTATTTAACAGAATTATGTCACTAGCTATTTTGATCTTTATATATGTATAGTAAATGATATATATTAACAACTTAACGATGTATGTAGGTCGTACTTTCTCAGTATTAGTGTGACTTTTTCTGTTAATGCGTGCTTCGATTAACAAGAAAAATGCATTTTATCCATTAGTGGTTTCTCTTAAGTTTTTATTTCCTCACCGGCACCGCTCTGCCCGAACACGTAGTTGTCAGGCCTAAACAGCTGCCCGTACCCAGACGACCGGATGGCGTCCATAGTTCCTGGCTCCAGGTCCACCAGCACGGCGCGTGGGACGTACCGCTTACCTGAACAGGAGAACAGAGCTTCAGAACTCCAGAAAGAATGTAGGTAGCTCAAGGGCGGATCCAAGGGGGGGGGGGGTCATGGGGGTCAATTTAATTATTCTTAAATTGGTTCATAGTGGATATTGTGAAATAAAATTGGTGAAGAATTAAAGTCTCCGATCAAGTGGACGTGAGAACTTTATTGTAGTGTTGACTACCTCTAAGAAGCTTATCGAAAAAGCCAACTCAATAGATTTCGTGCCAAACACTCCAAGAAACATTAGAATGCGTAAAAAAAAGAAAACGGTGAATAAAAGTCAAGACTAGGCTGTGTGGTTATTGTTCCCATTGCCTTCCTTGAAAAGGGAGAATCTTAAAAAAACATACTTTACTGTGCCCTGTGCCGGGGGCAAAAATTTGAACTACAATTGTCATGGGGCTCATGACCCCCCCTGGGCTTGGTCCATCTGTACCCACTTTACAATCTGTACCCACTGTGACTTGATCACAACTATATGACCCCCCTCCTGGCGCCAAAGCTGGATCCGCCCTAGAGGTAGCTTAAAAAGGATTCGAAACACCAAGTAGAGCTAATTAGCTTAATATCTGTGCCCTCAGTACGAGTTTGAGCTCACGAAAACTATCATAGTTTTCGTAATTGTAAATTGTTTCTATGTCCATTTTGGTGAAAAGTAACTACATATACTTAAAATTTAAGAAGACGCAAATGATTTAATGATAGAATTCAAACACTGTTTATTTGTATTGAAACGAAAACAATAAAATCAGTACCCTTAGTACGAGTGCGAGCTCACGAAAACTATCATAGTTTTCTTAATTGTAAAACTCGTACTAAGGGTACTGAATGACAACGTGTAACAGTAAATAAACTTATATTTAAAAGGAATGGTCGCACTCATCTGCTTCAAAATTTAAGATAAAGAGTCACTTTATTAATAATCATCGTGTGTATAGTTATGTGTGTTTATATATTTAAACTAGCTGTCCCAGCGAACTTCGTACCGCCATAAAAAATAGGTTGGTGGTAGAAGGGTGAAAATTTAGGGTTGTACGTATTTTTGTATGATCTATCATAGAAAAATAAAAATATAAATCTCAAATTGAAAAAAAAATTTAGGGGTGGATTACCCTTAACATTTAGGGGGATGAAAAATAGATGTTATCCGATTCTCAGACCTACCCAATATGCACACAAAATTTCATGAGAATCGGGAAAGCCGTTTCGGAGGAGTTTAACCACAAACACCGCGGCACGAGAATTTTATATATTAGATATAATTGTGGTTTGTATGTATGTGTATTCCTTTCGTACTATGTATTTATATATGTATCTATGTTAATTCGTATATATTTTTAATATTATTTATTATATCAATGTTTATGTGTATATTTAGCTTTATACCGCCGTTCGCGTTTTTTTTCCAAAGGTTGACTGGGAAAGAATGCTATTAGCATTAAGTCCGCCTTTTGTACCATTCTATTGTATTTTGGTCAATAAAGTTTAAAATAAATAACAGAAATAACTAGAACCCTGAAAGTACCTTAGTTAGAATGAGGGCTACCGTTTTCTGTCTCACCAGATGGCGCCACTGTTGAGTGAGGTCCTAAATTGTAACTTTTAAAGTTTATTAATACGCACATGAAATCAAGACGCGCAGTTCCGTTTTATTCGGAAAAAATTATAACATAATCATTTTTCTTAGCTCAGATTTTTAATAACTGTCATTCATTGCTACATAACTCATATTTGCCATAATTAAGCCGAATAGTTACCAATTATTCACAACATTATTTTAATTAGAAATAAACCCGCATAGTCAACGAACAAGCAATAACATTTGACATTTCGGAGACCTCACGCTACACTAGCGCCTCTAGCGGCGGATTCATACGCGATAGCCCTCATTGGCTTCTGGATAGATTTCATCAAAAAAAAAACATTTTTTTTAAATTAATTTAATGAACCTAAGCAAAGGTATACATAATACAAGAAATTCGAGTCATGTTTAAATGCAACAGTACCTATATCAAATATTTTTACGTAAATTGAGACATAACTGGTTAAACTGATTGATTAAAAATTACTGAAATTGATTCCTTTGCATATTTGTAACAACTTACTTTCAGAGTGTACGTTATTTTTCTTACACCTTGTATTATATATATTAATAATATTAGCTTAAACCACTGAACGGATCGTGGTGAATTTTGGCACACATATAGCTATTATGATGTAGGCGTGCACTTAAAAAAGGATTTTCTAAAACTTATCCCCTTAAGGGTTAAAACGGAGGTTTAAAGTTTCTATGGAGCACCTAGATCGCGAGAATAACCCTAAAACTAAAGGCAGAAACATACTTACGTGTCGTGGCGTGTAGTGACGCGTCAGAAGCACGTCGGTTTTATACATTTATTAAGGTTAAGTCAGAACCATATTAACGTGTCGTGACGCAACGGTTTCATACATTTATTATGGGTTAGAGAGAGATAGAAAGGCTAGAGCGTCGACACGACATGACACGTAAATGGTGTCAATTCTTTCACGATTCTGTAAACCTAGGGCTGCCATCCGTCCGGGTTTCCCCGGATTTGTCATAGTTTACGGGGCGTCCGGGGAGCGTCCGGGCGGGGTTTTATTTGTAGTCCGGGTTTAAAAATTTACGGCAACGCATGAGTGGCCCTTGGTGCTGCAAGTGTCCATGGGCAGCAGTAACCACTTATTATAAGGTAGACCGCTAGCTCTTTAGCCTAGATCAACATAAAAAAGTTGATTTGTGACATTTTTAACTGTTTTTTATTGGTCTGTCCGGGTCCTGGGCTCCAAAATCCGGGGTTATCATGCGTCTTATCCTGGTTGCCACATTTTAGAGATGGCAACCCTATGTAAACCTAAACTTAAATCTGACAACAGTGTATCCTTGTCCTTCTCTATACGGAATGAAAAAGAGAGATTGATGTTAAATTTGGTTTTAAGTTTAGAGAATCACGCCAGAATCGACACCAATATGTCTCTAACCATAGTAAATGTATGATACCGATGTGCTTCTGGCGCTCTATGACACAACACGACACGTAAATATATTTCTGCCTTTATCTGTCGTGTTATGTCGTGACGCGTTACAGATCTATCGGTTTCATGCATTTTGTACGATTAAAATGAGTACACTGTCAACACATCGCGACCACATTATTCTTTTCATTTTTATCGTAACTGATATAACATATTCTCATCTCCTCACCGTCCTCAGCCTCATTGTAGTACACCTGGATGCGCTCCAGCTGCAGCTCGCTGTCCCCGCGGTAGTGGCCCGTCGGGTCAATGCCGTGCTCGTCTGATATTATCTCCCAGAACTGACAACATCATAAAAAAATAGTATCCGTGGTTCTAGTAGACACAGTAATGTATGACACAGCAATCAAAAATCAAAATGTGAGTGGACGTTGTACTGATGGTAGCGACATGATTTTAAATAAACGTTGCTACTTCTGATAAATGCCGATGAGTTTCTTGCGCCCATTAGGAATAACTAGCAAACCAGTGAACCAAATGTTCACCAAAACCTGATCTAAAACAAAAAATGTATTTAATTAATTGAGAACTTCGGAGATTTTGTGTGGTTTCGTTTGAAATTCGTGATTTCTCGAAAACCGGAAGTGCTACGTTACTCAAATCCGGTTTGTAGTCTTATCAGACTATTCTTAACTTATAACTTAAATATTCTTTTTATCTATCTTTTACGGTTTGGCCGCTGAAACAGCACCACAGACGGACGGACTTGTCTAATAGATAAGAGATTATAACACCAAATATACTCGTATAATTACGTAACATTCACAAACAATAATATTAACAAAAGCGTTATAATTGGCGGTCTTATCGCTAAGAGCGATTTCTTCCAGACAACCACTGAGTATGAATAGTTATACAGAGACCATAAGTTGGGGTGGTAAATGGCTTGGAATAAATAGTTACATCCATACATACAATCTACATCAAATCTAAGTATCCTAATTAGACATATAAATTTATACATATACATTTAATAACATATATTCATACACATACATACATAAACATAAGAGCTCAAATAAAAGTATAATAATTTAATTTTATAATCATTTCGGACAATTTTCAATCAGTTTGGACTTTTAGCATCACTTAACATCAGGTGGCGTAGAGTCATTTGCCTACCTGGCAATAAAAAAAAACCTGTCAAGTTTTTTTTAATCATCTAACTGTTAGATGTTTAAATCTAAAGAAAAGTTTACTAGAATAAAAAGTCCCGTCTGCTGCCTGATGGTCTGTGTGGTTCCTTTTTCTAGTAAACTTTTCTTTAGATTTAAAAATCTGTTAAGCCATGAATTTTTCGCAATCATGACAGACAGACAGACACACCTCGGTATTTATAATATTAGTAGGTATAGAAAAATACTTGTTGTCTCAATATAGTGCTAACGAAATAATGTTTAAAAATCACAACAACTATATTTAATCTATGAGTTTTGTGTACAATAGTTTAAAAGTTGTATCTTGGTATAAACGAGGGGTTTTTGGGTTATCATAACCATCATCATCAGCCTATTAATGTCCCCACTGCTGGGGTCCAGACCTTCCCTATGGATGGAATAGGGAGATTGAGCCATGACCCACAACGGGGGCCCAGTGCGGATTAACAGGTGCTAACGACTGCAGATGCAGCCGGGACCAACGGCTTAACGTGCCTTCCAGACCACGTAGGAACTTGATATAGAAGATTTTTGGTCACCCATCCAATGAACGACCACTGCGAAAGTTGCTTAACTTCAACGATCGCAGGCGAACGCGCTGATCACCTGCGCCATCGAGCTCCTCATTTCGGGTTATAGAGTGATACAAAATTTTGTTTTACACAACGTAATTTATAATTGTAACACTATGGGGACCGATATCATGTTATTAGAAAAAAACAGGCTAAGTGAGATACGGACTCGCGCACAAGGGGTTACCTATTAAATATACAACACTATATTATCTCTTATCTGTTAGACAAGTCCGTCCGTCTGTCTGTCTGTGGTGCTGTTTCAGCGGCCAAACCGTAAGAGATAGATAAAGAGAATATTTATGTTATAAGTTAAGAATAGTCTGATAAGACTACAAACCGGATTTGAGTAACGTAGCACTTCCGGTTTTCGAGAAATCACGAATTTCAAACGAAACCACACAAAATCTCCGAAGTTCTCAATTAATTAAATACATTTTTTTTTAAATCAGGTTTTGGTGAACATTTGCTTCACTGGTTTGCTAGTTATTATAAAATCGAGCGAAAAAAACAAGTCTGTTGTTGGCGAGACCCAATTTTTTAATAATTTTACATATTTTTAAAATAATATAATTATAACTTAATAATTGAGAGCAAAAAACCGCAAAAGAAACACGTTTGCTGTATGCTGTATGGGAGACCCTTTCAAATTTTATTTTATTCTATTTTTAGTATTTTTGTTATAACGGCAACAGAAATAATAGATATACATTATCTTAGTCAACTGCCTAGCAATCACGGTTCATAAGATACAGTCTGGTGGTGACAGACAGACGGACAAGTAATAGGGGACTGTTTCTACCGTTTGGGTACGAAACCCTAAAAAAACAAATAGATTGACTAGATTTCACTATCTAATATTTGATGCCCATAAATAAGAACATGCAAAAAACAGAAAAAATTAACATATGTTAACAATTTATTGGACACACAATGCATTCATCGCGGCGAAGACGCGCGCGGCGCCAAATAGAGCGCAACAAATTTAAAAATAGAACATCCTTTTAATGAATGAAATCAAAAATGAGTGCAAAACGCAAAACATGCAAAGAATGTTTATACCTTAGATCCTATTTGGTTGCCGCACTGGCCCGCTTGTAAATGCACTATTTCTCGCATAATTATCGATTTCTAATATAATTTAACTAGCAAAACAGACTCAGTGTGGTCAATCTAGATGTGGAATACTATTTTAAGCGTATGCGTCTCCGCGTGAACAGTCTCACGTGGTATCTACTATCGTCATAGTTCTATCTGTGACATAGTTTAGCAACGATTCCTATAAAAAATAAAGGGACAAACAATGCGAGATATGTGATTTTTTTTTTGTCAGCACAGAAAGAGACCTCAGAAGTGGTACTAATCTTTAAATTATTAAATAATATGGTTTCGGTAGGCATTGTAATTTTGAAGCGAAATATCTAAGGTGCTCTGACTGACAGTGAAAACAAAGTTAGCCCACGAAATAGAAAATATCGGTTTACAGATTGTTGTTTTGTGTTAAGCCATTATTAGACAAAGATTCGAAATTCCCGCCAATTCTTCACCACTTCTTTTTCTTCAGTCACTTTTATTTTTGCTGTATATCATATATATCTCAACTTTAGTACATTTGATCTCCTTTATTTTTTACCAGATGCTAAAAAATACAATTTGAAAAATATAAATAAATAATTTTATTAAAATTATATCTCTTGTACAATAAAACGCTATTTGGCAGCTAAGGTCGCATTTGAGCAATTTGACAGCTTCATTAGCCGTGCGCAAATGTCAAACAATTCTTGGTTTTCCCCTGTTCCCTGGGGAGATTATTCCATTTTCGTATATTTTACGTGAATTTCGTATCTTTTTGCTTATAATTCACAAGTGTGACTTTATTTGGAACCCATACTTATCGAATTTAAATATCAAACGCTGTATAAAATGTGAATAAATACAATTATGATGGCTGAAAACTTTCTGTCTGTAGGCCGTAAGCCATTTTTCGTGATAAACGATTTACTATGCATTATATTTTATGCTGACTTTGTTTTTGATAAGCTGTGACGTGACGTGTTATAAGTGCAATACTGTGTGCGAATCTTCACACCATTGTGGTTTAAAGTGAGTTTTTTAATATGTAATAATATTTTTTCCACCAATTCATATTACTGCCCATTTGACATTGAAACAGTATAATATATGAGTAAATAATGGACCAAGCCGTGGATAATTGTTAATGCTTTTATTATTTTATTGCTATTTCTTGTTTGCTTAAACTTATACATACTTTTTTTATAAGTTTGCTGAAGATAGAGAACATGGGTGGAGCTGGTGGATAAAAATATAGTTTAATTTTGCATATATTTTTGGTTTACTAGTTTATATATCAATGAATCAAAAGTTCCAAATTTATTAATAAGTTTTCAGTGTTTTCTTTTATGCTTGTTTATGTCTTTGTAATTGGATTCCACTATTGTGCTAAATAAGTAGGTATTCAGATACATATACATCAAAATTTTAATAGAAAAAAAATCCATGTAAACCAGGCAGGAGACGGGACTCGAACCTGCACCCTTTGCTTTCCAGGCGAATACACTGACCATTATGCTACAGCAGCCCTAATGGTCTGATGGATGGATTTTTTTCTAGTAAAATTTTCTTTAAACATTTAGCAGTTAAATGCTTAAAAAGTTCAAAAATATACATATGCATCATTTATTTATCAGGGAAATTAATTTCTAACAATATCAAATCAAATCAGCATCCAATTTATAGTTATTTTAGATTTAAATCAAGATGTAGGTATTGGTGTCGATTCTAGCATGATTCTCTAAACCTAAACTTAAATTTGACAGCAGTATATCCTTGTCATTCTCTATACAGAATGAAAAGGAGGGACTGATGTTAAATTTAGATTTAAGTTTAGAGAATCACGCCAGAATTGGCACCATTATTTCATGGACCAATATTTTGCTTTTAGATACAACAATGATATCATGCTTCCTATAGGATGTTAAATCAAAGATGGTCTTCTTGTAGGATGTTTATTTGTCCATTTCTTACATAGGATTTCTTAAGACTAACTTAAATAATTTACTATTTTAATATTAAAATAATACATTATCAATTTTTGTCGGCACCTTCTTTCCGGTTGACTGGTAGAGAATGCCATACTGGCATTAAATCTGCCATTTGCATTGTAAAGGCAATAAAGATTAAATAAAATAAATAAATAAAAAAAAAAATTGTTATTATGAAACCTTTCTATTATTGCCATCTGATCAATAATGCAACATTGCTATAAAGTAAATATCGAGCCCTTACCGCCAAATTATCGTAAGCGACACTCGCCAAATTATCGTAAGCGACACTTTTGTCGAAATGCGTTTTTTGTGGAAACCAATATTTTAAACCGTAACGGACCCATCTCTGTTGATATTTCCCTCTATTCTTCCCTCTATTATATTGTAACGGTGTTCTTTTGGAGGGAAATATCAACAGAGATGGGTCCGTTACGGTTTAAAATATTAGTTTCCACAAAAAACGCATTTCGACAAAAGTGTCGCTTACGATAATTTGGCGAGTGTCGCTTACGATACTTTGGCGGTAAGGGCTCGATATGTCGCAGTCACTTATGCATATTCTTATGTTGCGGTGAAACTCAACATACTACACAACAATCGTAACTTATTTATTTGTAATGAGCACAATAGTTTGTGCTGAAAGAATTATATCTTCTAACATAAAGCTAGATTTGGCACTTATCTAGCTGCAACTTAATTCAAAACATCAACAGAAAGCTAGACAAGCTGTACACATAGCTGGCTGCCCTATGCCAAAGTTAGAAATCATATTTAAAATTTATTTCGATAGAAAAATCAAATAGGTAAAAGTTTAAAATAAAAATTCAATTAATTTTCGACTTTGAGACAAAGCTTGGAACTTGATATAATCATAGTTGTTTAAGTGGTTATAAAAGTGGCATAGAAAGCATGGTTCGGATCTTAAGGAAAACCTGGCATCAACACTACAGTGTAGCCAATGAAATTTAAGAGGACACCATTTTAAACTGGCACAGGCCCAATCTTCCAATAACCCTCACAAACACTTCTCCAGTAACAGGGTTATTAAGACCTGGAACCAATTACCTGCAGAAGTGGTATCGGCATAAAGCATTAGATAAATATTTTAAACAGAGAAAACTAAAGTGTAATATTGTAGGATGTAGGCATTAATCACTGGAGTAGGTATTCAATTTTCCATTAAGATATGCAATACACGTATGGTTTATGTATCATAGTCGGGGCCTGGTGACCTGTTAGTACAGGTAGCTATTCGTAGTTGCCTTTTACGGGCACCAGTCTCCCACATAATAGGTTTATGTGTAATGTATTGATTAAGTTAGTAGTTACCTATTGTACTGTTACACCTTTTGTGAGGAGAAAATAAATGGTATATTATAGTTATATAACAATTTTTGGCAGCCAATCCTGCCTGACAACATTAATAATAATTAATATTGTAATCCTGCTAGCTTGTGTCAGTTCCTTATAGCAGGAGAATTAGAGTTTATTTTTGGACCTCTTTTGTTACTTGATTGAAAGTGTACTTTGTTCTGTTAACTCGAAGAACCGACACAACCTGTCAGATAGATAGATAGATGGTGACTTCAGAAGTATCTCTGAAGTCATTTTTCAACTTGACGACTCTGTATATATCAATACAGGGAGAAAAAAGCAGCCCTTGCTGTGTTTCTTGCTGGTTCTCCTCAGTACAAGGTCTCCCGCCGTAGTTTTGCGAACCGATGGCATAGCTTCTTGACCTTCACAAGTGCTTGTAACAGCCTAGACTGAGTAAATGACTTTTTATTTCATTTCAGATACATTCTTTATTGTGTGTGCAACACACAAAAGTATGCAGAAAAAGTAAATAATAACATTATGTGGGCAAAGGTGGCCTTATCGCTTTAAGCAATCTCTTCCAGACAACCTTTGTGGTAAAGAATAGAGAAGAATTGCATTCTTCCTGTCAGAATTGCATTCTTTTACTGGCTGTATTTTAATAGACTAATGATGAAATTGATGTGTAATTTCCAGAATATACAAAAATATTAATTACTCATTAATAAACAGATAAGTAGTTTGAGTTCAATAATATTTTTATATATACAGTATGATTTCATTATAAGAGTTGGAGTGAGGTAAAAGTGAATATTTTTTTCTTGAATTTAAATCAGCAGGCCCTGCCACTTTCTCGGGTCTTCATTGATTAATATTTTTCCTTTTTTTTTTCATTTATTTAATATGTTTGTTTTATTGTCTGCATATATTGTTTATGGTCAATAATATGATTGTCTCTGTCTCATAAAATTGAATTTTATAATAAAATTGACTTTTTCGAATAGTTTTGAGTACCATTTCGGGTGCTTCCATGAACCACAAGATCTGTGGTTACAGAAAGCACCCGAAATGGTACTCAAAACTATTCGAAGAAATATTTGATAAGAATGCAAATCGTAAGCAATGCTCTGTGCCTAGAGGAAAATTTTGATAAATGGTCCCTCATCACTAAAACGTAGAGAACCGCTGCTTTAGATAGTGACCAGCAATCATTCTAAATCTTAATTTGTCTTTTGTCTTCATTGTTCAATAATACTTATTCAAAAACACATCTTGTCATAATAGTATCCACACAAGTGTTTTAATACCTAATTATAAACAGTCGCATACAAGATATATTGTTTTAAACTTTCATGGTCACTAATATTATAGCTATTAATTCCGTGAACATCAAAATACATGGTACATTAAGGTACATGGTAACAATAACGGGATTGTTACCATGTACTTTAATGATCACGAATTAACTTTTACTCCACTGTTGCAAGCGCCATGATCACGGTACAACAGTTACTCTATGATCATGGCACTTGTAACAGTGCCGAAATGTCGGAGACTCATAAAAACCAAGGTACACGGTAACACTCCCGTTATTAGCTGTAATGCATACAAGAGTTTTTCTACCTCATTATATGTGACTCACAGCATATTTTTGCTTCACCCTTGATGTTCAAAATATAGGTACCTACATACCTGTGGTGTTTGTGCCACCTCTGCCCCTTTTAGATTGTGTGATAACCTATTTAATATAACCATGTTTTGTATCAATGTTGTGTCTTCTACACTATCAATGAATTCATTTATTCTGGGCTAACTTCTGTCTGTAACTTACGTATGTATATTTGCAGTCTTAAGTAAAAATATTTTAGACATTTCAATCATAAGTATAGTGCACAATTATTTGTGTTCCAGTCAAAGTTTATAAACTTATATATGTATATGTTATTAAGATTCCATATTACATGCTTTTGCTAAGTTTTTGGAAAAATATTTGATATAAGATAAAAAAAAATATCTCTCTTGAAAATAACCACTTGCCTTAAGGTCATAGCGCACCCGACCAGCATCGCCTCCGCGGGCCGTCAACTCGTGAAAGCCGCGTTGTCAACCAGCTAACCAGCTTACGTCGGGTGGGCTACGGGTAAACGCCTCGCCCACCATAACGAGCGAGCTAGAAAGCGCGTAGGTAGGTAGGTGGTTTGGTTGGTACACGTTTCTTGCGTGCGAGCGAGCCGAGTCGGTGCCGTTACGGAGTTGGTATAGTTAGCACATCCCCATAGAAATCCATGCAAATAATATCAACTGCGCTCGCCGAGGCGATGCTGGGCGGGTACCTTTTATTTAACGTCTTAACTTTTTCCTAGTTTCATTTGAGCTTGACGCTTCAATTGTTCAAACTTCACTTCAAATACCATCGTAATCGTAACGTCCATCATCAATATGATTTAATATTTCATGACAGAAATCATTGTCCTCAGGCCTACGGGATGGAAGAAAAACCGGACGTGGAATCTCTGGCTTCCCAGATGGAGCCACTGCAGCATCTGGTGGAGCCGTTAGAGACACACGCTATGGACCATCCCTCAGAATCCCAAGCGCATTCGGGAGACGAGAAAAAAGTCATGAAGTTCATAAGCGTAAACAGTGATATTCTAACGGACGAGCAGAGAGAGATGTATGAGTCAGTGCTGTCCACATGGAAACCAGTCATGTTCCCGAAGAGAATCAAGCGGTACATATGCAACAAATGCAATAAAGAGTTCAAGAACTACCAGAACTTATACTTGCACACAACTAGGGTTCATTCGACGGAAGAATCCGCAGTTTTGTGCGACATTTGCGACAAAACTTTCAAGAACAAACACTATCTTTATATGCATCGGATGAACAAGCATTATTCGGAGGACGAGAAATGCTACTGCCAATACTGTTTGCAAGAGTTTAGGACGCGACGAGCTTTGCACATGCACGTGAAACGTATACACCCGAACACGCTGCCTGAACTGAAATGCCCTGAATGCGGAAAAGAATTCAGCGTTCCTTACAAAATGCGTTACCACATAGACGCATGCCACAGGGCGGACAAGGACAAGTACAAGTGTCCAGTGTGTCAGAAGCTGTACAAAAGTCACTTGAATCTGAACAGGCATTTGCATTTCCAACATTCCCAAGTGCCTCGGCATAAATGCGTGTTCTGCGATATGACTTTCAAGTCGCGCCATCACATGAAACGCCACATTTTGAACATCCATCCTCCTTTGGAGTCTAAAGTGAGTTGTCCGGAATGTCTCAAGGAATTCAAAAACGATCAATACCTAAAGGAGCATATGCAAGTCCACTCCTCGTTAGATACCAAAGTGAAATGCGATCTTTGCGACAAGTTCTTTCATTCGGCGATCCGCCTGAAGAAACATAAGAAGATCGTACATCCCTCGAAGCCAAAAATGCGATGCGAGAAGTGCGATAAGGAATTTGCTCACGCCCACTATTTGCGGCGACACAACAATTCCGTGCACATGGATTTGGATGAGACTAAATATGAGCACGAATGCGATCAGTGCGGGAAGAAGTTTAAACTGAAAAGGTACTTAAACAACCATTTGCAAAGACATGAGCAGCAGCATTTGAAGAGAATATCGCAGATGGTGAAGACCGTGATGGGAGACGAGGCGAAGCAGAAGAAACCCAATCAGAAGCAACCGAAGAAGAGAGGCAGACCGAGGAAGGGTAAGAGAGAAGAGATCGAGTTTATAAAGTGCGAGCCTGTGTCTAGCTCCGACTCAGATTCGGGTGAAACTGAGAGTGATTCTGAATGAATTAGCTCGTAGTCATTTGAGGTTAGTCTGTTTAGATGTTTCATATTTTTCTGTTGATGTTTTTATCTTAATGTTTATTCTAGATGATGTTAATGGTGACGTAGATATTTATGTTAAGATTTTGGTCGAAATGCGGGTTAGAAGCTTCTGGTTATTGAAATGGATATAAGAGGTGAAATCTAAAATGCACGTGATTTTTAATTTCCCCTTGCCCTTGGTGAGAAGGAAGCGGTTAGAAATTACCTATACTCCGCCTGCCGCGTGTACCCTAATTCTCGTGTATTTTGGCACAAAGTAAAAAAAAACTTAAAATTTTAGCAAAATTATCTCCACTCCCCTTGTGATATTGAGTATTTTTTGGGAAATATTGAAATCGTCTTCAAGAAAATAATAAATGGTCACCTTAAACATACAATTTTATTGGTAACCACAAGGTTAGGATTTTGTTTTAATAAATTGTATTGTTTCAGGATCATTTACTGTATTTTTGATGATCATTGCTGTTTTTTTAATTCTTGAGAACCTCGCGTGATTAATGAACGATCCTTCATATCTCTAATGATCACGGGATTGAGGTTATTGGGTTCAGACTTGCAATGCTAGTAGTAGGCATATTTCTGCCTACCTACCACGTTCGTGATTTCATTGACAGGAACAAAATGTAATTTTTTTTCGTTAAACAAGTCAGTTGCACCGAAATTTTTAAGACACCAATAATGAATAAAAATCAGGTTCATCATGTAAACATTATGTGATTTCGTAGTTGGCTAGTGGCATGCAATATTTTGTTGAGCTTTCGTCAATTTGTTGAAATATAGTAGAAAATACTTTCTTTATAAGTACTTGCTTGCTTTTGATCACATAATATAAATTGGCGAAATTTAAAATCATTATAAATATAAAAAGTTATATAACTTTAAATGTGAAATTGTCTAGGATGCACGCACGCACCATTTTAGAAAACATTGAGAGTTTTTCAAATATTAGTATTAATAAGTATTTGCAATACTTTATGTCAATGATAATTATTATAATTAAGTAATGCATTCGGGTTCCTATTTGGGGTAGTTCGTTTTTAGCTATACTTGCCGATTATATAATTATGTACAGGGTGATCTTTTCTTTATATATCGTCGATGCGCGTGCAATACCGCGAAAGAGCAGTTTGTTAATACCGCGTAACTGCTTTTGTACGATTTTACAGGAGGCGAAAAAAACTGGATATCTTAGTCATTTGCCTATATTTTACTGACTAAACTAAGTAGTAACTTTTTCGTGACTTACTCTGTAAAAAAATGACGTAAATTCAACCATAACTTGTTTAGATTCCGCGAAAAGTCACTTACGCGGTTTTGTAGCACTAAATATCAGAAAAATCAATTTATTATTAGCAAATACGCGGAGTTGAAATAAAACATTTTATTGAAAGAATTAATTTATTACGACAAAATAACAAAAATAACTTCAAAAATATAAGTTTAGACTTCTTAAAAAAACTTATCTGATAAACAATTATTTTTACTACTTAAGTATATAATATCCATAATCAAATTATAAAGAAACCTTTTTTTATTATTATGTTCCAGAGTGAGATCGGTCCCTTCTCATGAAAATACAATACCCATTTTTACTATATATCCAAAAATCACTATCTTTGGAATGTCAAATCAATATTCTTTCTTAAAATTACAGCATAATTTTAAGTCAATACTTATTTTTTGAGATCTACTTAAACATCACTTTTTTGCCATTGCACTTATTCTTATCAAGGCTAACTATTATACTTACACACTATAACAAAAATAAAGTAACAAAATAATCTGAAACTCAAATTAAAACTAGTAATGAATCACAACGTTTAGGATATTAGAAACATTATTTAAAAGGCAAGTTATCATAAAAGTTATGACAGTCTCTTGGTATGACACTCTTGAGCTCCTGCAGATGATGGTACTTTGTGGTGGTTATTGGTTGTCTAGATTGATAAAGTGAAGGCACACTATCTATTGAAAGTATTTTCTTTGGTCTTCTAGGCAAAGGCGTAAAGTTATGTGTGAAGTGGAGCTTATAGTCTATTGTACCATTTGGATTATACCTGAGTGCTCTTATGTCAACGACACAGTGATCACCCGCCCCACGACCAGGCCTGATTGATTCGTAAATCAGATAGTCTTTAAGACCGAAGTCTTTAAAAAAAGTAAAATCTGGTGTAATAACTTCATAAGGACTTGGTACTTTCCTTGCCTCTTTCGTAATAGTCGCATATTGAGAGGGTAAAAACACTTCTCTATTTTTCAATTTTCTCTCAATCACAGAGTGAACTGAGTCCACTTCCATCTGCGTGTGGCCTTTCTCCAAGTATTTCTGAGTTATCACTATGTTCTTGGCCATAGCTAAACGCAATAATGCATTCGATACAATATTGTTTCTATTTTGGGCGGTACAGCCATCTGTAAATATTACGACATCCTTGGGATCATCATCTATTAATTTTGTCAAATAGTCCACAAATAATGTAGCATAGGTAGTCGATTTTAAGTCGCATACCGTTTCGTCGAACCAGTAACACGTGACTCTATTATTCCCCAGGTTGTAGACTGTAAAGTTATGCACGGCTAGTTTTGTTTTAAAATATAGGGCACTGGCATTGAGGCAAGGACACAGTTTTACAGCCTGAAGATCTGCTGTTATTGCATGTATATTTCCTTTCTGTGCTGCTTCTTTGTCAGAACTTTTTTCAGCTCTGGCTAAGTCTTTTAGTTCAATATGTTTGGTATACTGCGCATCTGATATATTGCCTGCTTTGTGAGCGCAACACTGGTCGCATGCATCTTTTTTTGGTTGAAATATTGCGATATTCTCTTCAAATAAAGCACCTTCAAATACCTTTCTTGAAGCCACCGGTTCATTTCTTGAAACTGAGTAATCTACATAAAGACGATACAATTGCGACTTTGACTGTATGATGGGCTCCAAATATAATTTCGAGGAAGATTGTCTACAATAATGAGACGGCAGCTTCGGTAGAGCAATCAAATATTTTTTAGCTAAATCTTTTTTGGGTTCTTTGACAATTACTTCTCTTTGTTCAGGTTCAAATTCACTTTTATTCATCTTCTCTCCTAGCCAGTATCTAACGGTCCATTCTTTTATACCTAGTGTTTCCAGAAATGTTTTTTGGCAAACTCTTTCCTTTTTATCATTCACCTTTAAAAAATATTTTTTGGTATCGCTTCGCCTTGAATTTGAGCCTTTAGTTTTCCTGGTGGTAGGAATCTGATCCACCATTGAAGATACGTACATTTTCTTTTCTTGCCAACTCATTTTCCAATAGGTTTTAAAAATTTCTGACCTGACTTCTTCTGTTAATTTCGAACAATACATAGCTTTTCCACTGAAACATCGCATTGACATACATATTGGACCCATTATTCGTGCTGGTTTAGGATTATTTTGTATAAATTTAAAGCCATCTTTTTTAAATCCGATGTACTCTTCTCCTAACATTCTCTGTCGCTTATTTTTCATCCTTTTCCAATTTTTTTGATCCCCTTTGCGCTTTTTTTTGTTTGTTTTCGACTTTTCTTCTATTTCCCTTTCAGGGAACCATTCCATATTTTCTGGCGATAAAGGCTTTAAATTTGTTATATCTGAGAGGGCGACATAAGAAGGATCTGCGACAGAATCGTCAGACGAAAAATCAAGTCCGTCATTGTGCTCTACTACATTAACATTCAATTCAAGAGGAGTAATTTTATTTTCTCTTTGTGTTGGTACAGTACTTAAAAGTGTTGTAAATGTATTAAATTCGGATGTTATATCGTGATTTTGTTCTTGCTGTAATATATTATCTGACGAAGGTTTTGAATCTGATTGCAATGGTGGTTGATTGTGGTCATTATGTTTTCTTATTATTTCCTCTTTCTTTTTCAGTAAAATGTTTCGCCTTTCTAACAGATCTTTCAATGAAATCACGTCGTCGGCAACATCAGCATTTTCAAAAGGAAAACTATGATTGTCTTGATTTTCCATTATTATTTGCACCTAAAAATAATTTTAGTATGTTAGTATGTAAGTATTGTAAATTTAGTATTGTAGAATAAAATACCGCGTAGATGAAAAATTTTATCAAATCATGAAGTTTTAAAACCGCGTAATTACAAGATGGAGGTTATGTTTGCTAGAATCATTAAAATAATTAAATAATTACACGAAGCTACATTACCTAAGCTTAAACTATTGATAAACATACACGTTAAACAATAAAAACATACTTACATGGGGGTTTTCCACGGTAAAACAGTCGTAATCGGGAACACGCCCTAACCGCGTTGTAACTTCTTCGCCGGTTCGGTAAATACGCGGACTTGCTGCCAACTTCAGACGCACTGCTGTTCCGCGGTATTGTTGCGATGTCAAAATCAAGGTTCCTTATTGGCTAATTCAAAATGTGTCTAATCCACTACAAGCCAATACGCGTTATGAATCCATTGGCGAGATATTTCAATTTTGCGCCTTTTGCTGTTACGCGGTATTAACAAACTGCTCTTCAGCGGTATTGCACGCGCATCGACGATATACTATCTGACGCCCCCGACTTCAACTTTGGTTTTATAAGAATCCCACAGGAACCTCACATTTTTCCAGGATAATAATTCCTAAAAAATCCGCTTTAATTTTCTATATAATACGCTCTAACCAAAAATGGACGAGAGATGAATGAGCGGGAGGTATACCAGCAAAATATGTCTATAATCTTCTAAAATACCTTGCCCTATCGAGAACTGCAGTTAGTTCAATTTTGGAAAGAGTAACAATGGCTACACTAACAGGCTATTATCAAATTTGGCTAGGAAGGGCGCGCGCTTCGAGCAATGAAGGTGAGCGTTGTGTCTTAAACCTACTTTACTTACTACTTCTAACTCGATGTACGTTTGCAAACATTGTTAAAATTGTCAAACTAAATGGTATTTCGTGATGGCAGTTTAGTTTGGTCAATTTCTGCAACGTACTTCAACATAGGTTGAAATGACCCAAACGACGGGATAAAGACTCACAACATAACAGTTTTTATACATATAGTAATAAAAATCACTTTTACTACAACCATATAGAAGACGGTGAGTCAGAATGTCCAATGTTTTTTTATTTTGTCAAAATACCGTTCGAAGTTTTTTATTTTATCTCACTTCCATTATTACATAAAACACTGTAGAAACGAGAAATTAATTATGTAACATAATAAATTTAAATATTTTTCTTTTTTTTTTTGCTGTCCGTTCGCTTCGAGTTTGCCGTCGATGACCGTTACAAAATGTGAGTGGCCAATCACGGCACATCAACTGGTACCGTCGACCAATAGGAGTTGGCCGTCGATGACCGTTACAAAATGTGTGTGGCCAATCATGCCACATCAACTGGTACCGTTAACCAATAGGGTCGACTAGTAGGGTCTGTCTAGGAGGTAGGGAGGATGGGAGCGAGTAACTCGAAGCAAACGCGTAGTATATAGGGTAATAAAAGAAGTAATTGTAAATTCTATATCTCTTTGTGTCTTAGATTAAAACAAAAAGGGTAGATACCAGTCCGCGTTGCTTGGCAACCGACTGCGTTTTCTTTCCTTTCTCAACAAACGGTATTATGAGTTGTATTGTTGTTCTTATCTTGATAACAATTGGCGAAAAAGTAAATTAACATTCATGACAAACAGTGATTTTTGAAAAATAAATGCTTTTATAGTTTTACGGATGGCAAGTGTTGCCGTGGCATTTGTAATTTGATCATGAACTATCTGTCTCTTTATAAAAGCATTCAAGCCATTGTTTTATCTTTATAATACAGAATATACGCAATATTGTTATATTGAGTACACATGCAGCGTGTTTGAATGTACAATTGTGACTAAAGTGAATTGTGTCATGCACCACAATTTAAGCGGTACACTTTTGAGCCGCGAGTGCAGTATCTTCTTCACTTTTTGTTTTAATCTAGGCTTTGTGTGCAATACAACCGATGGATGAGAGACGGCTGTCTCGCTGAGAATCAGCAGCGAATCGCAGGTTGAATAGCACCGGCTAAGTTCAAACGTGTTCTTGTAATGGGGTTGGGGTCTAATTTAAATATTTATTTCTATAGAAAAAACGGAACTGGAGTAACACTATTACCGTCGTATATATAAACAAGAAAAAGGCATTAATTCTGATATTTCTTTTTATGCTTAAATAATTCAATGACTGTCAAAATGGGAATTTTTGTCACTCGTGCCATAAAAGAAACGAGTCAAAATGGCCGCCGATTAATTTTTTTATATACGAGGGAGATGTTACCATTTTCGTTGACAAGTAACCATTGTATTAGGGAATTCTAGTATCAATTAAGGACTTGGTTACTAAGGAGCAAAGTAATTACTTGTAGATATTTTTTATAAATGTATGACTGAAATAAACATTTATTATTATTATAGAAGACAGAATAAACATACGCACAAACGTAACTAATGAATCAATGCTCATGAATCCTTAAAAACATTACACTCCTTTTTGACAGTCGTGTAAAAAGGATCGTTATAGTTTGGAACATGCTGTATATAGCCTGTGCAATTCAAACTGCGTTTAGATTTAAACATTGAAGAATATTGTAAATAAATTATTAATTAATTATTATCTTAGTAAATGCAATATGTAACACATTATGTTTGTGATATTCTTGATTTCTTTTATGCTTTGTACCATGTTTATCGCGTTGGTTGATTACTAGTTCATTTCTTCACGCTATTGACCGGTTATCGGTGAAAACAAAAAAATATTTTGGTCAGTAGAAAAATGAAAAGTTTAAAAACATGTTTTTATTTTTCCAGAAAGATAGATACCTTTAATTTTAATTGAGGTGATAAATAAGTACCTAATTAGTTCATTAATCATTATCTTAAGCAACTAGTGATCTGAGGCCCAATCACGAATTTGGACCGTTGCGTAATCGTGTCGTCATCGACAAATTTTGTGTGGAAGGCGTCAAGTTGTTCTTGCGTCCGGTAGAGGCGCTGCTCAGTTTTCATAGAAAACTTACGATACTATAGGATTTCAGTACTCTTAGCACAGATCAATATCTAATTCGAATATCTAGTTTGTGAGTACGAAATGTCATTGTCAAATGTGTACAATGATATTTGGGACTCGGAAACTATTCGAATATGATATTCGTGCGTGCTAAGGGTACAAAGCTGTCAAAATTCGCGCTTGGGCCTCTGTACCGACATCATTTGGTGGCATATTTAAGAAAGCTAAACTATATAAAAAAATTATACGTGTAAATAGAGTAAAATTATATAAGTCAATTTTATTATTGTGAACAGTACAATTAAATGTTGATGAAAGAAATATATAAGTATTGTTTTTATTCAAATGAGAGTCTGGAGTGACGGGCGTCAGGTGGCAGCACTGAGACCAAGGGCGGATCCAGGGGGGGGGGTCATGAACCCCCCCTGGGCTGGGTACAGATGGACCAAACCCAGGGGGTCTTTTTTAAGTACTTTCAATATTTAATATACCACGGCTATATGACCCCCCCTGGCGCCAAAGCTGGATCCGCCCTTGTGAGACTAAAAGTCTATTCATCCGTCAATCACTGAGATGGAAAGGTCTACTCATCTGTCAAGCATTGTGATGAAAGGTCTACTCATCCGTCAAGTATTGTGACGAAAGGTCTACTCATCCGTCAAGTGTTGTGATGAAAGGTTTACTCATTCGTCAAGTGTTATGACGAAAGGTCTACTCATCCGTCAAGTGTTTGGCGAAAGGTCTACTCATCCGTCAAGTGTTGTGACGAAAGGTTTACTCATCCGTCAAGTGTTATGACGAAAGGTCTACTCATCCGTCAAATGTTGTGACGAAATGTTTACTCATTCGTCAAGTGTTATGACGAAAGGTCTACTCATCCGTCAAGTGTTGTGACGAAAGGTTTACTCATCCGTCAAGTGTTATGACGAAAGGTCTACTCATCCGTCAAGTGTTGTGACGAAAGGTTTACTCATTCGTCAAGTGTTATGACGAAAGGTCTACTCATCCGTCAAGTGTTGTGACGAAAGGTTTACTCATCCGTCAAGTGTTATGACGAAAGGTCTACTCATCCGTCAAATGTTGTGACGAAATGTTTACTCATTCGTCAAGTGTTATGACGAAAGGTCTACTCATCCGTCAAGTGTTGTGACGAAAGGTTTACTCATCCGTCAAGTGTTATGACGAAAGGTCTACTCATCCGTCAAGTGTTGTGACGAAAGGTTTACTCATTCGTCAAGTGTTATGACGAAAGGTCTACTCATCCGTCAAGTGTTGTGACGAAAGGTTTACTCATCCGTCAAGTGTTATGACGAAAGGTCTACTCATCCGTCAAGTGTTGTGACGAAAGGTTTACTCATCCGTCAAGTGTTATGACGAAAGGTCTACTCATCCGTCAAGCACTGTGACGAAAGGTTTACTCATCCGTCAAACACAGTGACGAAATCTATTACACGACAATGACACAATCATGGTGCACAGCGTTTTGAGAATTTAAAAAGCATAGACTAAAAGCCATTTTTCAAATTAAATTACTTCAGCCGTCTTCTAATTTAATGAAGTGAAATCTATTTATTTAGGTTCCTCATAGAAACCAAACATTATTATGAAATAAACATTTGTATAGTACAACTTGACATGATTCCACTAGCCTATTAAAGGTCATCCCCACTCTTACACCCTAGATAAACCGTACACGGCAGGTATGTATGTCAAAAGCCCACTTAAGGCTCACATATCGATTTTGACAGTTCCTCATCCCCTTTGTCGCACTCCCCACCCCCTTTGATACCGTAGGGTGCGGCCAGAGTGCACTCAGATTCAGATTCCGAAAACAAGCGCGAGAAATAAACAGTGTAGTCGAAGCAGGTTGCCTGCTTTTTCTCGCGCTTTGTTTTCTGAGTCTGAATCTGAATCAGGAGTGCACTCAGGCCGTACCCTTCGACTACACTGTTTATTTCTCGCGCTTGTTTTCGGAATCTGAATCTGAATCTGAGTACACACATTACTGTGGTGTTGTGTTGTGACAGCTTGCTACATTAATGATCTGTGGTTGTGACATTAAGGATCAGTTCACAGATCACTATATATGTAGCAAGCTAATCAGTTCAACTCAGGGCCTTCAATCTTGGAACAAAAAAACCGAGATACAAATTTGAAAAGTTGCCGTCTTAGGAAAGCAGAGGTCGCTACTATTATAATACGGATATATAGTAAAGGACATAAGCGATGTTCGAGCAACTTGTTTATTGTTGGACAATATAATTTAGAGGGGTTATTTTGCTAACAGTGCTTACCCTATCTTAAGTTATTACTATTATAGTAGTTTATTCCAAACAATCAAATTTAAAATTTATATTATATTTTCACAACAAAGAGAATTATAACTTCACACACATTTTTTTTATATAATTAATTATTTATTTTAACCTTTTTAAGTTAAATTAAAGCATTTATTACAAAACTTGTATAAAATTTGACAAAGCTAGTAAAATCACAAAACTATTGTAATGGCAACATCAACATGCACGTCATGCAGTGTTGCCAGATCAGGGGATTTCCCCCTAGATTTAGGGGTATTTCGTCGGGCTCAGGGGAGAAACAGGGGGAAAAATTTTTTAGGGGTTTTTCAAAAAAACGCGAATTATTTTTGAGAAAGTTATTCTTTTCGATAATTTGAAAGAATAAAGTCATTTGCATAACGAACCGAACGAATCGTCAGATATTAAGAAGTCGGGTGGTCGCGGTCGCGGGTTAAACTTGATTGAATCACTTGACTGCTGCGCCACGGAGATATGATGAACAAATATTGGCAGAGGGAACCCCCTGTCAATATTGAAACTGTTTTTGTCCACGCGTTTTATCCACAAACCCTAACCTATATTACGAGTAACCTTTTCTAACCGCAATAACCTCAAAACCTCATTTTTTTGTACAGTTTTTAACACACTAATCAGTTATTAGTTTTTTATACACGATATCCGCGAAACTTTTCTTATCTTGAGAGAATTGGCGATAAAACAATGCCGAAAGAGAAAAAAACAAACAAATACGTACAAAAGTACGTGAAGAGTTGGGAAAAAGATCCAGCTTGCGTTGGTAAGTAAATAACACCGATCTGACAAATTCCTCAGGAAAACGAATGTGTCAAATCTAAAATCCTAAAATTCGAGTTCAAGGATGAAGTACGAGCCTCGAATATATCATGCCAACGATTTTTTGAATGTATTGGTACATTTTTTCCCGATATTTTTTTTTTTTCGAAACTAGGGTGGCTGCAGCCAATTGTTGGCGACGAAACAAAAGCTTTCTGCTCGCATTGTAAGGTCACTTTAGTCGCACACAAGAAGAGTTTGCAGGAACATGCCACATCGAAGAAACACCTGCAGTCTGCCAACAAGGAACGTGAGATTGTCAATTTACCAAAAATTGATCGATTCGCAAAAGTGACTCTCACAGAGAAACGAAAAATTGCCGAGCTCAAAATCGCGACGTACGTGGCGGAGCATTGTTCGATAAAAAGCGTCGATCATCTGTCGATGGTGATTAAAGGTCTCGACGAAGACTCGACAGTTTTGCAGGACATTAAGCTTCACCGCACCAAGTGCTCAGCTTTGGTAAAAAACATTCTGTCAAACGAAAAAAAAAATCGTAACAACGTTTTATAGATTAATTGAGATGGAAGCCGGAACATCGGATGCTATTTCACACGCAGTGCTGAATCAATTAAAGATCGATGGCCTTCAGCCAACAAAGTTAATCGGTCTTGGAGTCGACGGTGCAAGCGTAAATGTCGGAAGACACCATTCGGTGTCAACGTTATTACGCGAGGTAAACCCAGAGCTCATTATAATAACATGCATTTGTCACTCACTGCATCTCGCCGCGGAACAAGCCTGCAAGACGTTGCCAAGGCATATGGATTTTTTGGTACGGGAAACCCACCTTTGGTTCACCCATAGTACCAAAAGATAAATTGCCAAAAAAAATTGTTAAAATGTCCGATACGCGTTGGTTAGTTCGACTTCAGGCTGTTGAAACAATATTGGAGCAATGGGATGCGTTGAAACTTCATTTCCAAATCACTGAAAGTAACGACGAGCGCTGTTATATAGCGTCTCAATTGCACGCAATGTACGCCACACCCGAAAACAAGCTATTTCTAACATTTCTCGCCAATAGCCTGAAAGGTGTTGTAGGACTGAATAAGTTGTTTCAGTCTCAGAACGTTGATCCCGTCAAACTTTTCGAAGACCTTAACAATTTGATGTACAGTCACCTGCAAACCATCGTTGTACCATCTCAACTTCAGAAAGTATCGCGCTATGAACTCGGGAACTCGCGAATGAACCTTTGATTTTCTTCAACACTTAATGAGCTTGCAATGTGTAAATTTCGGATACGATTTCAACAGTCTTGCTTCGAGCATCAAGCCTGAAACGCTGGTCAATATTAAAGAAAGATGCAGGAATTTTTTAATCACATTGTGCCAACAATTGCAAAAAAGATTGCCCGAGAATATAAAAATTCTCGAAAAACTGTCGACTTTTTCGCCGAACGTAGCTTCATCTCAAGTTAAAGTCGATATCACTGAGATAGCAACCAAGCTTAAAGCCAGTGTGTGCACTGACATCGACAGTACTGTGAAGGAATGGAATCTTCTTCACACTGCCAAAGTTTTGAACCTCCAAAATACCGAAGATTATTGGGCCGAGATTTTCGACATTAAAAATGCTGGTGGACAAAAACGGTTCGGTAATATTGCGCAGCTCGTACTTGCTCTGTTGTGCTTACCGTTTTCGAACGCTTCGGTCGAACGAGCTTTTTCAATATTAAATATTGTTAAAGACAAACTGCGCAACAGAATGTCAATTGCAATGGTAGAGGCAATAATGCACGTCCGACTCACGCTTGGAGTCGATTGCCGCGATTTCAAGCCTACGGTTCTCATGCTCAAACGTTTCACTTCTGAAAATGTTTATAACAACATCAATGATAGTGACCTCGAAGTCCTTAATGTTTTCCCCAGTGATGAATTTTGATACGAATCAGTATCTTCATCGCAAACAGTCATTAAAAGTCGAGAGCATCCATGACTAATTGATATTCTTCTCTATGTATTTTTTTTCCACTTATGATACGAATATATGTGATAATTTCTATAAAAATGTTATTTTGAAAAAATAAAACTAATATTCTCCGTTAAATATATTTTTAATTCATTTTATTTTACTCGTTATTATGTATAATTCTATTTCAAGGCGTATGTTTCGGGATTTAGAATTATATATTTTCGTGATTTGAATTTCGTGCTTCAGAAAGTAGGCG